GCACCGATATCCAAAGCTCAGCCTGCGGAAAGGTTGCACGTGGGCGGCTACTTCAGTGGGTGGCGCGCACTGCCACGCCTGACCTGAACCACCTCGTGGAGGATGAGGAGGAGAAAGAGGAGGACGAGGAGGAAAATGACAGGGCAGCAGAACAAGGGGGAAAGAAAAGAGAGAGAGAGAGAGAGAAACAAAAACAATATCATTCGCGACCTGATCCAGAAATCGGACAACATCGGCACGTGCATCGAATCGGGCTGCATCGGCACGGCACCTAAATCGCATCGACCCAACCGCGCCCGGACGCACAACAATGCTTGGCGTGGAAGCAGCGGGTCCTGAGGGAAACGGGTCCTGGATCCTGGACCCTGGCGCCTTCCCCCACTACCAGTGCATCCTGAGTCGTTAACTATCTGGCAATCCCAGGGCCCGTGCAGGGCCCTGAGAGTTCGAAAACGGAGAAACACCTCAGGGCCCGTTCCCTGAGGACCCCTCTCCTTCATGGCGAAAAGCCACGCGTGCACCGGGCCGCACAAGATGATGGGAAATCGGAATCCCGTCCGAAGTCGACGTCGAGGTCGAACGTATCGGATCGAAGCGGTGCCCGAAGGGTCGAGGCTGAGCTGAGCAGGGACCGACCGTCCCGGCACTTCTATGAGCGAGCGCGCCCACAGCGCCGACGCAAAGGGGGGGGGTCCCCCCTAAGCTACCCCCCCTCCCTTCCACCTCCCCTGCTGGAAGCCCCCCACCCCCTTCCCCCCTTTTTCGCCTCCCCCCTGAAGCTACCCCCCCCTCCCCCCCTTTCGCCACTCCGAAGCTACGTAATTACCCCCCCCCTCCCCCCCTTTCCAAAGGGAGGGGTGGAGCTTAGCTACCCCCCCTCCCCTTGATCCCCCTCTGCCGGAAGCTCCCCCCCCTTTGGTTCCAAAAGGGGGGGGAGCCTTAGCACCCCCCCCCTCCCTTTCGGCACCTGGGAAGCTACCCGCCCGCTCCCCCCCTTACGCAAAGAGAGGGGAGGGCTTAGCTACCCCCCCCTCCCCTTGACCCCCTCTCTGCCGGAAGCTACCCCCCCCTCCCCATTTGGTTCCAAAGGGGGGGAAACTTAACTTAGCAGACCCTCCCCCCCTTCAGCACCCGGGAAGCTCCCCCCCCCCCCCTTCCCCCCCTCACGCAAAGGGTGGGGGATGCTTAGCTACCCCCCCCCCTTCCCTTGACCCCCTTCTGCTGGAAGCTCCTCCCCCCTCCCCCCCTTTGGTTCCAAAGGGAGGGGGCTAAGCAGCCCCCCCACTCCCCCTTTTCGGCACCCGGGCCCCCCCCCCTCACCTCCAAGAAAAGGAAGGAGGGGGCTTAGCTACCCCCCCCTTCCCCTTGACCCTCCTCTGCCGGAAGCTCCCCCCCCCCTCCCCCCCTTTACTTCCAAAAGGAATGGCGGACTTAGCAGCCCCCCCTCACTTTCGGCACCCGGGAAGCCCCCCCCCCCTTCTCCCACCTTACGAAACGGGAAGGCGGAGCATAGCAACATCCCTCCTTCCCCTGACCTTCCTCTGGCGGAAGCCCCCCCTCCTTACCTTGTTTCCTCTTCCCCTGCAGGAAACTACCCCCCCTTCCAAAAGGAGGACACGCGGCTTAGCTACCACCCCTCTGCCTTGAACTCCCCCTGCCGGACGATCCTCCCCCTTCGCCGTGATCATTGCCGTCGCCGTCGCTCGACGTCTTCGTACGGCGCCGTCGTCGTCCTCGTAGTCGTTGTCGCCGCCGTCGCCGTCATTGTCGCCGTCTTCGTATGAACTCGTCGTGCTCGTCACGACGAGGACGAGGTCATGCGAAGACGGCGACGGACGACGGAGGACGCGCGACCGACGACCGACGACGACCCAGGGTCAGAGAAAACGAGACCACGACCCAGGGGCTGAGAAAACGAAGAAACGAAGCAGGGTCCAAGATAACGAGACCACGGCTCAGGGGCCGAGAAAACGAGAAAACGAACCAGGGTCCAAGAAAACGAACCAGGGTCCGAGGAAACGAGACCACGACCCATGGGCAGAGAAAGCGCCAAAACGAACCAGGGTCCAATAAAACGAAATCAAGACCCAGGGGCCGAGAAAACGCGACAAGGAGAAAACAAACCAGCGCCCGAGAAAACGAAACCACGACACAGGGGCCCAGAAAGCGAGAGCACGACCCAAGGTCCGAGAAAACGGGAAAACGAAAAACGAACCAGGGCCCGAGAAAACGAAACAAACACCGAGAAGCCGAGAAAACGAGACAATGAACCAGGGTCCGAGAAAACAAGATAACGATCCACGGACCGAGAACACGAGACACCGAGAAAACAAACCAAGGTCCGAGCAAACGAGACCACGACCCAGGCCGAGAAGACGCGATTATCGCTCGTAGGAAGAGAGACCACGACCCAGGCGCCGAGAAAACGAGAAAACGAGAAAAGGAACCAGGGCCCGAGAAAACGAGACTACGAACCAGGGGCCGAGAAAACGAGGAAACAAGAAAACACACCAGCGTCCGAGAAAACGAGAAAGCGACCCAGGGGCAGAGAAAACGACAAAACGAGAAACGAACCAGGGTCCGAGAAAACTGGACCGCGGCCAAGGCGCTGAGAAAACAAGGAGCGAGAACATGACCCAGGGGCAGAGAAAACGAGACGACGATCCATGGGCAGAGAAAACGAGAAAACAAGACAACGATCCAGGGGCCGAGAAAATCAACACAAACCCATGCCAGAGAAAACGAGAGAACGATCCGGGGCCCGAGAAACCGAGACCACGACCCAGGGGCCGAGACAACGAAAAAACGAGAAAACCAACCGACGCCCGAGAAAACAAGAAAACGACCCAGGGGCCGAGAAAACGAGAAAACGAGATAACGAACCAGGGTCAGAAAAAAAACAAAACCACAATCCAGGGGCCGAGAAACGGAGAACACGAGAAACCGAACCAGGGTCCGAGAAAACGTGACCACGATCCAGGGGCCGAGAAAACAAGAAACGAACCAGGGTCCGAGACAACGAGACCACGACCCAGGGGCCGAGAACACGAGAAAAACACAACACTAACAAGGGACCGAGGAAACATGGCACAACGACCCATTTGCCGAGAAAACAAGAAAACGAGATCACGATCCAGGGCCCGAAAAAAAAACAAGACAAACAAAACACAAGCCGAGAAAACGAGAAAACGAACAACGAACCGGGGCCCGAGAAACCGAGACCACGACACAGGGGGCGAGATAACGAGAAAACGAAAAAACAAACCAGCGCCCGAGGGCACAGAAAACGCGAAAACGAACCAGGGCCCGAGAAAACACAACGACGACCCAGGGGCCGAGAAAACGAGAAAACGATGAAAGGAATCAGGGCCCGAGAAAACGAAAAAACGAACCAGGGTCAGAGAAAACGAGACCACGCCCCAGGGGCTGAGAAAACGAGGAAACGAGAAAACGAACCAGGCCCAGAGAAAACGAGACCACGGCCCAGGGGCCGAGGAAATGAGAAAACGAGAAAACGACACACGACCCAGGGACCGAGAAAACGAGAAAACGAGAAAACGAACCAGGGTCCGAGGAAACCACGACCCAAGGGCCGAGATCACCAGAAAACGCTTGGCTCGAGAAAACGAAACCACGACCCAGGAGCCGAGAAAACGAAGAAACGAGACAACGAAGCAGGGTCAGAGAAAACGAGACCACCATCCTGGGGGCCGAGAAAACGACAAAACGAAAACACGAGCCAGGGTCAGAGAAAACGAGACTGCGACCCAAGAGCCGAAAACATGAGAAAAACACGAGAACGAACCAGGGACCGAAAAAACGAGAAAACGATACAGGAATCAAGAACCGAGAGAACGAGACTACGAGCCAAGGGCCGAGAAAACAAGCAAACAAGAAAACGAAGCAGGGGTCGACGTTATTCTCCAATGCGTTCTCTAACGCTGCGGTGCGCACCTGTCGTCACGGATCCCGCCATTTTGCCAGAGCCCCGGAAGAGGGGGGCGGGGCGTAGCTTCGGAAGCCCCCCCACCCTTTGCAAAGGAGAGGGGGGGGAATAGTTTGAAGCCGCCCCCCCCTGCGCCCAGGAGGGAAAGGGGGAAGCTTCCGAAGCCCGCCCCCCCCCCCTTCCTTTGAAAGGGAAGCCCAGGCTCACCTTCTGCTCCGGAAAAGGAAGGGAGGGGGGGGTAGCTTCGAAGCTCCCCCCCCCCGTTTAGCTAGGGCCCCCGTAGCTCAGAAACCCTTACAGAAGGGAGGGGGGGTAGCTTCGGAAGCTCTCCCCCCAGGGAGGGGGGGGGAACTCCCCCCCCTTGAAAAGGAAACCCGGGCTCACCTTCTGCTCCGGAAAAGGACGGGAGGGGGGGGGGGTAGCTTCGAAGCGCCCCCACTTCTTTAGCCTGGCCCCCCTTAGCTGAGAAACCCTTTCAGAAGAGAGGGGGGGTAGCTTCGGAAGCCCCCCCCCTGTTTGAAAGGAGGGGGGGAGGAGCTTGAAATTGGGGCCCCCCTTTGCGTATTCCCGGCGCTGCGGGCGCGCTCTTTCACCTCTATAGTCCTACCAAGACATGTCCTTAGAACCCGAAGTGTTCTCAGAACCGAAACACTGAACCATGTTCTTCGAACATAGACCCGATGTGTGAAAACAAGACAGCCCCGGCCAGAAATGTTCGAAAAACATTTCGTGCAGACCACAAAAGAATATTTAAACATTGTGTGTAGGCCTATAGGCACCACTTCGCTCTCCCTCCGGGACTTCGCCTCCACCTCCTGTCCATGGCGTACCTTTTCCTGTGGAAGCTCTTCAGCACCGCCTGCACCCCGCGCCCTCCGGCCGCCTGAGGCCCCGCCCGCCCGCGCCCTGTCTCCCCAATTAGTGCTTTGCGCGACCCGCCTAGCTCTTCACCGGAAGAGGCTCGCTCTCGACCCGCAGACCAAAAAAAATGTAGGCCTACAGGCACGCCAAGGCGCTTCGCCACTGCTTGACTCAGACTCGCGGCCGCGCCGGCCTCCGCGCCGCCCTGCCACGGCGGCCCGCCGCGGCCGAGCAGGTCGACGCTCGGCAGCAGAGGGACCCGCGCCAGCGCGGACGCGACCTGTCGCGGCGCCGCGCGCGCGGCCAATGTTTCAGGGCTGGGCTCTCGCGCGGCAGCTCCCTCAAAGCTCAACAAAAACCCACGCGCCATGGGAGTTCGAGGGAGGAGGAGGAGGAGGAGGAGGAGGAGGAGGAGGAGGCGGAGGAGGCGGAGGAGGCGGAGGAGGCGGAGGCGGAGGAGGAGGAGGAGGGAGGAGGGAGGAGGGAGGAGGGAGCGGGGCTCCCGCCCGATATCCTTGAAGTCTACGGCACGACGCGCAGCGTTGTGCGACGCTTGCACGGACGGAGGGCGACCTATGTTCAAAGCGGGGCCCCTGGCTGGACACGCCACTCTCTTGAGGCTCCCAGCGCGTGATTCGGGGCAGTCCCTTTTCTTGCAAAACGGGGCTGTCGCTTGCACGCCAGGCCCAGAGGAGGGCGCTCGTGCTTCAAAGGGGTGTTTCCCCGAGTGAGGAAGAATTCCTGCAAAGACTGCTGAGAAGAAGACCTGGGACGGAAGGATGCGTTGCATCGATGTTGCATCCAGAGTTTAGTGTGGTCCTCCTCCTCCTCCTCCTCCTCCTCCTCCTCCTCCAAGAAATAGAATGTTTGCCCTGACCCTTGAGGATCGGGGGGAAGCTCCCGGACGTTTCCGCGGGGGGGGGGGGGTCGAGAATGTTTGAACGCTGCGGGCCCTTCTCGGGGGGCCACCGGAAACCTCTGCGCGGCGAACCCATGACGCCGATGCCCGCGACAACGCGCGGGCTGCTCGACCCCGAGGAAGGTCGCGGCCTTCCTGCGGCGCCCATCGCTCGACCATCGGCCGATTCTGGGCCCCAGGTGGCGTCCAGCTCTGCAGCGCCGTGGGCGGGGCGTCTCCTCCTCCTCATAGCTTGAGTTTTTCATCCTTCTCCTCGCCCTCCTTGAGGGGCAACGATGGGGGGGGATAGGCATAGGGGGGATGCATCGACCTGGAATCGGCGATACATCGTCGATGGATCGGCGATAGGCCCCCGATGGTGAATCCGCACCTTCCTTGGCGGGGTGGGGCTATCGGGTCCCTGTCCGTATCGGCGATCAATGGGCGATTGGGTGTCGATGCATCCCCACCTATGGGTTTCCCCCTTTTTCGCTGCCCCCGACTCCTCCTCCTCGTCCTGTTCCTCCTCCTTCTCCTCCTCCCTCGTCCTCCTCATCCTGCTCGTTCCTCCTCCTCCTATTCCTCCTCTTCCTCCTCCTCTGGTGAGAAGCGCTTTGCTGTGGCTGCTTGGCCCGGCCGGCGCGAACGCCGGCGAAGCCTGGCTACGTCCCTGGGCCAGAGGGACACGTGCGCGAGGCGGACGGAACGACGAGTGCCTGCGAAGCGCTGGAAGAACCTCATGGGAGCCTGCCGTACCATCTTGTCCGCCCTGGCGAATCGACGGTAGTCGACGCTACATCGACGCTAGATCGGCGGTATCTCGTCGACTCCCAGACGCTAATCGACGCCAACCGACGCTAAAGACGGAACTGAGAGGGTGCACCAGGCCCCCATGATTTGCTACCGAACTCGCCCACGCCCACTGCAGCGCACGACCCCGAGGGCAGGCATGCCAGAACCTCCGAGAAACGAGTCGCGCGATCACCCTCCGACACCTGGAGCCGAGTCTGTCAGGACCCCCTTCTCACATCATCGCCCTCCTCCTCCCCCCTCCTCCCCCTCCCCGTCCTCCTCCTCCTCCTCCTCCTTCCTCCTTCTCCTTTGCCTCCTTTTCCCCCCTCCCTTCCTCCCTGCCTCCCCCCCCGCAGCTGCCTGGCGCGCAGGTGCGGCCCCGCCTGGGGACGCGCGCGCGCGCGCCGCACTCGCTAGCCAGCGCCGCCGCCGCGCACCCGCGCCGGCCGGTGCTGCCCGGCGCTGTGGGCTGGCCGCCCGCCGCCAGCGCCTGGGCCGTGCTTGCGCCGGGCGTTGGCGGCGAGGCCTGGGCAGCGCGCTGGACCGCAGCCGCCTCAGGGTAAGGGGCGCCCAGACGGACAGGGCGGCGGAGCGGCCCGTCCCGGGCCGGGGGCGGCCGAGCTCGTCACTCTCGCGATGCGTCGCCGCCAGCGCCTGCACAGCCCGAGGGCCCGCGCGGCCCAACGGCTCAACGCGGCGAGCGGCGTGATGGCCTCGCCGCAGTGGGACGCCTTCTGCCGCGCGCCGTTGATCGCCGCGGCGCCAAGATGCAAATGCGGCGGGGGGGGGCTCGCGGGCAAACGCGGGGCGAATCGCGACATCGAGCAACGGCCGCAAGCTCCAGGCGAGCCGCGCCACGACTGGGTCCACGGCTCGTTCCTCGACCGCCCCGTCTCCGCGGCGCGCGGAGCTCTAGCGCGCAACGCTCCGCGCCAGCGAATGCGCCCGTGCGCGTCGTCGCCGCGACAGCGCCGTGACCTCGCATGCGCCCAGGGCGGCCTTTCGGACTAACTGCGGGATGTTGTAGGCGGTCGCCAGACGGAACTCCACAAGGGCCATCGTCAACGGAACTGTGCAAAGAACTGCGCGAGGAACGCTCGGGGCCTCACTGAGGCCGAACCAGCTGCGCGTCGCAAGCGCCTGCTGCGCGCCGCGTGCCCGCAAAGTCGGGCGCGCGGGCGAAATGCTCCAGCATGCGCCAGTGCCCTCTCCCCCAGAGGACAGACAATGCGAATCTGACGATGCTCCAGCATGGCCGCATGCGCGACTGCGGCCCTCAACGCGTCGATGCCTCGGACAACTCGCCCGCGACCGCGCGGGCGGGCCTGCTCCGGCCGACGGCGCATCGCTGCCGCCAGGCGCCGCGCCCCCGCCGACCAGCTCGGCGCCGGCGCGCGGCGCTGGCGGGGGCGGGAAGGCGACCGCCGCCGCAGCTGGGACGTCCTGCGCCCAGGGCCCTTCGACGCAGCGCTCGCGAGCCGCGGCCGCGAAGGGCGATGCGGCCCCCTGCCCGACGAGAGACCTGGGCCATCCGAGTGCTCTCAGCGCCCAGGGCAAAGCCGGTCGCCGGCCGCCCCGGCGCCGCGGCAAGCCTCGCGACGGCGCCCTGGTGGGCCGCCTCAGCAGCGCGAGAAGCCGCCGCAACGCGCAGTTTTGCCCCCCTGACCACCCAAGCGCAGAGGCATGCCCCCCTGGCGCGGCTACCCACGCTCGCCCCCATCAGAATTTCGAGCGAATGCCAGCCAGCATTCTGTCTTAAGGCGGGCGGACTGCGATGGACATAGCCATGTCCGCATGTCGTATTCGACGGTCCTGGCGATGGATTGTCGCATGATCGACCGAACCGTCTGGTCCGCCTGCTCGCCAACCCTCGCTGGGGCCATGCGCCAGAGCGCTGCGATGTGCTCGTCCGCGGCATTCGCCCGCTCTCGCGCCGGGCCAGCCGCGGCAACAATGGGCCGGCGCAGCCTCGAACTTGCCCTAGGCAGCCGCCCCCGGCATAGAGGGGCCCCCCGCGCTGCGCGGCGCGGCCGCCAAACTCCGACGGGGCGGGGCTTGCGTCGACGGCGCCGGGAAACTTGGCGGCGCCCCGAACGGGATCGGAGACTTTGGAAACGTTCGCTGCGCGCCCGCGGCCGCGATCAGCAAGCGCCCGATCCGCCGCCGCCGCTCGGCGCTGAGAGCGCCCCCCTGGCCGACGAGGCGCGCGTCGCCCGCCGCCCGGGCGAGACGGAAGGCTCGGGCGGAACGCCCCCGGGCCCGGGAAAAGAGACGCGAGCCTGGGCACATCTTCTCCGAGAGTCATCGGTCGCCAGACGGCCCTCAGATACGCGCCGCCAAATCCGCGCCCGACCGCGTCTCCACTGCGCCGCCGCCCGGGCAGCAGCGCGCGCCGACCGGTTGAAGTGCCGCTGGCGATCCCCAAGTCCAGCTCCGCTAAGGCATCCGCCCCCAAGCCAATCCGCTGCGCCCCGGCTGGAAACGCGCCCCGCACCTCTTCTAGCGCGACAGGGGTCCTCGAGCCATGCCGGCGCGACCTTCGCGGCGCGGACCAGGCCGCCCAGCGCGGCGACCCCGGGCTTGCGAGGCCTGAGCTGGGCGCAGAGCTCCTTCAAGACCTCGTCAATCAGCGCTGTCTTCGCGAGCTTCGCCAGTCCTGTCTGCGCGCGGGGGCGAAGCTTGCGGCCGCGCGCAGGATTCGCGTCGCTCGGCGCGCTCTTTGCCGCCCGCGGGTTCGGGGGGCGCCTGGCGTCGCAGGCGACGGCCCTGTCCCCCAGGCCCCCCGCGCCCCCAGCCAGTCGAAGCAGACCATCCGCGCCTCTCGGGGGCGAGACCAAGGCAGCGACTCGAGCGCCGCGGATCGCAGCGGGGCCTAGCGCAGCGAGGCGGCGGAAGGACGGGACGAAGATACGGCGCCGCATGCTAGCTTGTTTTGTTTCGGAAGCCTTCGCTCTCGCCACTGTCGCAGTCAAGACAGTCGCCCGCTCTTCCAGCGCAGCCGCTTCTCGGGATCTCAACGTCTGCAGCAACTCGCCCTGGGCAACCTCGTCGCGCGGCGCCTGCCGCTGTCCAGATGGGCACCTGGCGCGCGCGGGCCGCGCAATCGCCGCGCGCCGACTCGACGGCTCGGCGCCAACGGTTCGGCGCGCCCGCGCGGGCTCGGGCCTCGCCCCCACCGCTGGCCTGACGCATCGCGGCCCGCGCCGCGAAGTACTCCTCCAAAGCGTCCCGCGAGTGGCGGCCACCCCCGACCTCGGCGGGCGGCCCGCGCTCGCGCCGCCCTTCGCCATCGCGGCGGCGCGGGAGGCGCCGCGGCAGGTGGCTGGGCGCAACGCGCGCCCAGAGCGACGCCTCGCGGGGCTGACTCGGCGTCGCGGCCGGGATCGCGCGGGGCGCCGCCGGGCAGCGCCGCCGGGCCCCCGCGGCGGGCGCCAGCGCCCGCGACGGCGGGCCCACCACCGCGAGCAACATGGACTCCGCCGCGACCTGTTCGAGCAGGTCACTGATGGTGAAGGGGCCCGGGGGCGCGCGATGGGCGCGTGCGCAAATCCCAAGAGGTCAAATACTTCCTCACATTTTCCTCATTTTCGTCGCCCCCCCACTTCCCATATACTTTGCATTTCGCGGGAGCCGACGATTATTTGTTTTTTCCTGTTTTTTCCACGGGAAGATAGCGAAGGCCGCCCATGCCCCTGGGCCGCCAGCAGCAGGACACTACCCACCCCTCCGGCCCCACCCGACAGGACAAGCTACTGCGAGCAGGCCCCGCCCTCTAGCACACACATCGGGGCTGAGCAGCAACGCCCGTGGAGCAAGCCCAGAGCCCACACAGCTGCCCCGCCGCGTACACCGACTACAGGGAGACCGCCTGGTCGGGGGGCATCCAGCTCTGGAGCCCCATGGCGCCCAAGGCCGCGCTGGGAAGGGCGGGGCCGCCAGGAGAGTTCATGGAGAGGCGCTGAGTGGGGGGCAGGGAAAAGAGGGCCGCTCCGAGAAGTGACGAGCAATACGCAGACAAGCGACAGCGAGGAAGGGAACTCGCACGCTGGTAGCCCGGCAACTGGCCCGACAAGGGGCCCCCTGCCCAGAGCAGGGCCGACGCAGCCCAGAGCCCCCAAGGCGCGCGGCCTAGGGCCCCCCTGGACAGCGGGCCCCCCCCTTCATGGAAAGCTAGCCGCACCCGTATACCGTGGGGGCTCCCCGGAGGCGTGGCTTGTCCTACCCCTGGAGCGGTCCCACTTCGGACTATCGTTCTGCGGCTATCGGCCGCTCTCCCCCTCTTCTTCTGTCGCTTTCCAGTCCTGCGGCTATCGGCTGCATTTCCCCTTACCTTGTCGCCACATCCACTCACTAGTCCAGCCAGCGGCTATCGGCTGCTTCCCCACCTTCCTCGTCGCCACTGCTTCTACACACAAGCCCAGCGGCGATCGGCTGCTAGCCCCCCTTCCTCGTCGCCGCAGCACAGAGCCCGAGAGGCGCGGCTATCGCAGGTCCCACCGCACACCGGCAAGACCAGTCGCGGCTGGCCCCACGGCCGATGGGCCCCCGCTGAGCGGCCACACCTGTCGGCACAGCCAGTGGCAAGGCTTGTTTCACCGCAGCCGCGGGCCGCGGGTTCTGTCTGGGGCTACCTCCCGGGGTCGAGGTACACCCCCCACCACCGCGATAGACACCCACGTGCCTCGTGGGCCTTTCGCCTGCGCGGTCGGCTGAAATAATCCCACCGACGGTTTTGGCCGCGTTGTCGGCCCGTGGAGCACCGGGTCGACTCGCTGAAGGCGTTTCCCCACCGCTCCTCGCCACGCTTCATCCCGTCTCTTTGCCCGTGCCGTGCGCGGGCCGGGACGCAGAGGACGCTGGACGCGGCCCCTCCAAGTGCCCCATCCTTTGAAGTCCAGCAACGCGCAGTGGCTTCCATTTCGTCGCCGTCCGGAGCGATCACTACTTTTGACCCCCATGCTTATGGGCGCGCAGCCCGCGCGGTCGGCCGATGCATGCTCACCCACGGTTTTGGCCGCTTTGCCGGCCCGCGACAGACAGGGTCGACCGGCTGAAGGCACCGCCTTTCCGTCTCAGCTAGCTTAGGATGGCTCTGACCACAGTTTGTGCCTCCTGGGAGCAGAGGCACCACGCCGCTATGGTTCCCGCGGCCCCCGTGGGGGCTCTCGCCTGCGGTCGGCTGAAATAACCCCACCCAGGCTTTGCTCGTGAGTGCGGGCCGTGATGCAGAGGCACTGGCTGAAGGCCCTACCTTGTGCTTCACCTGTCAGTTCGTGACGTACGCCTACTGGCCTGACCCCCATCGGTGGCTTGGTGAGTGGCCGGCGTTCGCGGTGACGTACACGCACTGGGTGCCACGTGAGTGGATCCGGCTCGCTTCCTCCACGGTTGCGCTCTTTTTCTTCGCTCGCGCCTCCCTCTCCCCCCTTTCCGGTTGCCGGTCAGTAATTACTCCACCTGCGGGTCCGGCCTGGTTTCCACCTGCCCAGTTGTGGCCGCCCTCTTCTGCTGGCACACGCTCAGCGGCTTTGCCTGGGTCTGCGTGCCTTCGGCAAAGCTTCGGTTCGGCCCCACCTGCGGGTTGGCCTGTGCTCGATGGTTGCCCAATTGTGGCCGCCTATCTTTCTAATTTGTTAGCAGGTGCACTTTGCGCGGTCTCGCGCCAATTATCTGTCGCTGTGCCCCAGCCTCGGTCATACCGCCCTCTGGACTTCTCCTTGCGGGCCGCGAATCAAAAAGTTGTTGCCACGGCCCCCCTCGTCCTCCTCCTCGGCCACCCGCAGCAGGGCCCCCTGGCCCTGGCGCGGGCCCGCCCGATCAGGTGGGGCGACCCGCGCCTCTGCCGAGCCGCCTGCGCTGCTCTTCCGGGGACTCGCTTCGCCGGAAAAGGGCTCGCTTCGCCAGGAGCGAGCGAAATACTTCACGCAGGGTTCCAGTTGAACCAGCGGCTGGGCTCGCAGCGGGCGCAGTCGCGCGCCCAGCGACGGAGGCGCGCCAAACGCTGGGGCCAGCCGCGCGGCCCTTCACGCGCCAGCAGCACCCAGATGGTAGATGGCGCCCTCGAGCGCGCGTGCTGGAACCTGCTCTGCGCGAAGCTTCCAGCGACGACTTGCGGCGGGACAAACGCCGGTCCATGGCGTCCTCGAGTCTCCTCCGCAACCCCCGCCTCCCCGGCATGTCCCATTGGGGGCGCCGACGTGCCAGCGGTTTGTCCGACTCCTCTAACCTCCTGCTCCTCCTTGGAGGCATCTGGCGCCGCGTGCGGCACCGACGCGACGACCCCGCCCTCCGCGCCTGCGGCCTCGCGCGCTCCGGCGTCGCTCTGCTGGGGGCCACCTAATTTCAGCACCGAGCGTCGATACTGCGCGACTGGGGCACTGCAGCGACGCACGGCCCGCATGAGAATGCCCACAGCCAACGCAGCAGAGTCCGCGCGCAAACCGCTCCGGCATCGCGATGCCGCGGCAGCGTGGGCACCTAGCGGCCGGCCGCCGAGGTGAATATGTTTTGTTTTTTTTTCTGGCGTTTGCGAGTAGGCATTTTGCATGTAATGGAACGCGCTCGGTGGTCTCAGGCAGCTTCTCCACCTCCAGGCGCTGCTCCCGAAACCTATCTGCGTCAAACCCCTCCAGCTGGCCCCGGTGCGAGCCGAGTTCCCGGGGCGGCAATGACAGCGGCGCGAGCCGCCCGTCACGCCCTGACGAGGCCTCCGCGGCCCCCGCCGCCGGCGCGAGCCGCCCGCCACACCTGGGTGAGCCGCCCAGTGGGCCCGCAGCCGCCTCTGGTGCGAGCCCACCGCCACCGAAAGCTCCCGCGAATTCCCCACCTCGTCGTTCTCCTGCGCCAGCGGGTGATAAGGATGGGTTGGCATCCCCAGGGCCGCAACTGCAGCAGCAGCGGCAGCAGCAGCATCAGCTAGCGCCACCATCGCGAACCGCACGTCGCACCCTGGCGGGCCCTCCGCTGCTGGCGCGAGCCGCCCGTCATACCTTTGGCGGGGACCCCGCCGCCGGCGCAAACTGGGCGGCCCTCAACCATCTCTGGTGCGAGCCAAGCGCCTCTGGCCATCGCTCGGACGTCCATTCCCTGTGTTTTTTTGGGCGGTTTCGTGCGTGGTCTTTTCGCCAAATCATCAAGGATGCTCCTCGATGGTCCTCGTCGAAGAAAACATGCACACGTCCGAGCGATGCCAAGGCCTCTGGCATGGGAGGACGTGCAGGCATCCCCTGGAGCAGCAGAAGCAGCAGCAGCCGCCTCTGCTTGCACGGCCTGCTCCTGCTACGGCGGGGCACCTGCCGGCGACGCCGGCGCCACGTCCAGCCGCCGTCGCCACCTGCACCCCTCGACGAAGACGGCGGGCCGCCCGCGGCAGCATGAAATCGGGCGTCGGAGTGCATGCGCGGGCGCGGGGCCAGGGCGGCATCCCCACATTGAGGCACATGCCCCCACCTGCGCGCATCGGGCACCCTCGGTGAACCAGCTAGTCGGCCCCCTCCTTTCCCCCCCGCGGGCGCGGGCATCCCGCGGGGAGCGCCGCGCCAGCAAACGCTTTGGACCAAGTCCGAGAAGAATGCGGACCGGGTGGCCGCTTACCAAACATGACCTCCAAACTTTGGACCCTCGCATCCGAATCACGGCTGAGCCCAACGAGTCCCTGGCCCGGCTGCACGTTCCCGGCGGCGGCCTCGACCAGCTTCGCCCGCAGGGAGCCGAACAACTTCAGGGGGCCCCAGGCCCCGGTGGTGGCTCGATGCCCTCCTCGGCGAAGTCTCGGAGCCAAACCCCGCGGGCGGCCACCCAGTCTTGCCAAGCATCCTGGCCGCACTAGCCCTCGCCGCGGCCTGCGCTGGGCGCGGTGCCAATGGACCCACCACGCTTGCACCGCCTCCCGCGGGACCCCGATCTCCCGGGCAGGCACGCGGATCGCCAGCGGCCCTCCGGGAGTAAAAAAAACAAAAAGCGGCGGGCTGCGCGAGGCTCTGCTCCCGGGCTGGCGGGGGCTAAGGCTATGGGGGCCACGCGCGAACCCTACCCCTACCCCCCCACGGTTTCTGAGGGGGAGGGTGGGGCTCCCTGCGCCCGGGAGCTCCCGAGCGAAGGGAACCCCACCATCCCCCTCAGGAACCTTGAGGGGTAGGGGTAGGGTTCGCACGTGGCCCCCTAGGGTCGCTGGACAAATCTCCCTTTAGTAGACCTCCCCTTAGTGAAAACGGCCTGGGACCGAAACCGATGGAACTGGACCCGCAAAAATGACGGCCGCGACGCCCTCCCGCGAACCGAAAACAGCCAATTCACTAATCGACGTGTCAGGGTAGGAGGTCTGTCCAGCCCCGATAGGGGCACAGCACGCATCGCCAATCCAGCAGCCGCAGGGCTCGCGGCCACAGCCGGGGCGGCGGCGGCGGCGGCGGGCGGCGCCTGGCGGCGCGCCAACACGTGGCCGCACGGGAAGCCCAGCGGCCCACAGCGGCAGGCCAGCGTTACGTCGGGCGTGTCCCCCTACAGGGGGATGTTCGACGACAAATACAGAATACCCCAAACATGCCCCAAAAATACTCCAAAAATGTCCAAAAATATTCAAACACTAGTCCCCAGACTACTTTTTGGCTATTTGTCGACTATTGTTGGGGTATGTTGTACCGTTCGTCGAAAATCCAGGCCCGACTTACGGCCAGCGCCACCGCGAGGCAGAGGAACGTGCCCGCAGAGGCCCGCGACGAGCGCGACAATCTCCCCAGCGCTCAAGGCAGGCCGTGGGTCCGTGCCGATCCTCCATCCAGTCGGCTGCTGCGCTTGCAGAGGTCCTCACCCCTTCCTTTTTCCCTCCTCTCTCCCCTCCTCCCTCCTCCCTCCTCCCTCCTCCCTCCCCCCGTCACTCGTCCCTCCCTCCCTGCTCTCTCCCTCCCTGTGTCCCCCTGTCACTCTGTCCCTCCTCCTCCTCCTCATCCTCCTCCGTCTCCTCCTCCTCCTCCGTCTCCTTCTCCTTCTCCGCTTCCGCCTCCTCCTCCTCCTCCTCCTCCTCCTCCTCCTCCTCCTCCTCCTCCTCTTTCTCTCCCTTTTCCTCGGCCTCGTCCTCCTACTCCCTTGCTCACTCTCCACCCTCGCTCCCTCCACCCCGCCCACCCTCCAGACGAGAGCCTGGCGAGCAAGGGCACACAGGTCCAGCCCGCAGCGTGCACGGTAAGGCAATGGCAGTGAGAAAGCAAATCGGGAGGCCATCCTCTGGGGCTGGGGTCCTGCTCCCGCGGCCACCTCGTCCTCTCCCGCGCCACCTGGGCTCCCCACCCCTGAGTCCTCAATCCTCGTCCGTCCTCCTCCATCCTTCGCGTCCATCGTCCATCTCATCCTCCTCGCCCTCGTCCTCGCGCTCCCTCCGTCCTCCTCGTGCCTCCCCTCCTTCCCCTCCCTCCGTCCCCATCGTCCTCGTCCTCCTCCGTCCTCCCTCCCTGGCTGTCTCCCCCCGAGACCGCGAGCGAGACGCCCTCCGTCTGGCCGACCACGTGGCGCTGCATGCGCTCGGAGCGCTGCTCCTGAGCACGGAGGAGGAAAGGAGGAGGTATGGGGGAGGAGGGGAAGGAGGGGGAGTAGGGGGAGGAGGGGGAGGTGGAGGGGGAAGAGGAGGAGGAAGAGGAGGAGGGGGAGGTGGAGGAGGAGGAGGAGGAGGAGGAGGAGGAGGAGGGAGGAGGAGGAGGAGGAGGAGGAGGAGGAGGAGGAGGAGGAGGAGGAGGAGGAGGAGGAGGAGAGGAGGAGGAGGCAGGGGGAGGAGGGAGGAGGGAGGGGGAAGGAGGGAAGGGCAGGAGGAGGGGAGGGGGGAGGGGGGAGGGGAGGATGAAGGGGGATGGGGACGAGGACGAGGAGACAGAGGAGAAGACGGGAGGGAGAGGGAGAGAGGGGAGGGAGGAAGGGAGAGAGGGAGAGGGGAGAGAGGGAGAGGGGGAGGGAGGGAGGGGGAGAGGGGAGAGAGAGAGAGAGGGGCAGGGCGAGGCGACAGAGCACCGCAGCTCCTGAAACAGGGGCTCCCGATTTCGCGCTCTCGCGCTCCGCGAAGCGCGGAGCGCGGAGGGCTTCGCGCTCTCGCGCCGCCCCCGAGGGGGAGGACAGGAGGACACGGAGGAGGGGGGGTAAGGAACGAGGACCGCGGAGCGCGGATATTTTCGCGCCCTCCTGGGAGCCCTTGCTAAAAGGAGCACCCAGGCGAGTGACTCCGCGCGAGCCCCAGCGCGCAGCAGATCCAGATGGGACACCACGATACATCTCACAAACAGGACCGCACTGGCAGCTCCAGCGCCCAATGGCAGAACAGAGGGAAAGAGTAAAGCCAAGGGAGTGCGAGGCCTACAGAAAACCATGGTATCAGCCTCCCACGTTAGTTCTCGCGCTGAAAACGCTTCGCGTCATCGCGCTTAGAAGTTGCCCCAGGACGCCCTTCCGCAGGAACATGGGGGAAAGGTGGCGCCCGCTGCTGGGCTGGGCATCTGGGCAGAGAATTCTGGCCCCTGCACCCAGGGCGCAGACCAGCAGCTGACCCGACAGATCGTATCCAGCGAACTCGCCAGGCCCCAAAGCACGGACATGCGCAGCAACTGCGACGCAACTCATCTCTGTGAATGCGCACGAGAAGCGAGAAATAGGCGTGGGCCAGTCCAACGCATTCCCAAACGGCGCTGGCGTGAATCGTGGCGTGACCAGACCCCTCCACCCCCTTCCCCTCCAGTCGCGACCGTGAGCGCCCGGGAATGACAAAATCACTCTCTCGTAATTCGACTCACCATCATCCCCCTCTCCCTCCCCCTCCCCCCCTTGTCCTCCTCTTCCTCCTCCTCCTCCTCCTCCTCCTCCTCCTCCTCCTCCTACCTCCGACTCCTCCTCCCTCCTTTCCCCCCCCTTTCTCCTTCTCATCCATCCTCCTCCCTCCTCCCCCTCCTCCTCCTCCTCCTCCTCCTCCTCCTCCTCCTCCTCCTCCTCCTTCTCCCTCTAAGCTGCGCCCGGAAGCTCGGTCCACTCCCCCATTCCTACTTCCAAGACTCTGCGATGGGCCAAGCTTCTGGGTGCAGCTCCAATCGGGAGCGGCCAAGAGGGGGGTGTCCAAGAGGGGGGGGCGCAAATCATAGCCGGCGGCATGTGCGCGGCGCATCGGGGGGGCCAGGGACGTAATGAAATAAGAAGAGGCGCCATGAGATCTGGGGAAATATCATGGCCCCCGCCATGATATCCACCCCCCCCTAGTCATCACCCCCCTCTTTTCCGCCCCCGATCCAAAGACGGCGGCCGATCGCGGCCGGTCCAGCAGGCTGCACCCGTGCCACTGCAGGTCGACATTCTTGAGCGCGGCGAGCCCATCGTTGATCTACCGGCGGCCGTCGTCGTCTTCGTCTTCGTCGTCGTCGTCTTCGTCTTCGTCGTCGTCGTCGAACTGACAGGGTGGCGTCCCGCTCCCGAACAAATACGCATCAGCCCTGGTACAGTCCGTGCTAGTAGAGGCGCCCAGGTAGACAACAATGAACAGACACACACTCCAGGATTCCCAACAACATGGTCGAGAAGCTCTAAAGTTTAGTCGTTCGATCCGTTTCCAATCTACCCCCAACACTTTCATGGAAGACGACTTGTGTCCGTGTCCATTTTCCCCTCCAGAGGTTAGGTGGTGTTGGCACGTAAGCCAACCTAGGATTCTACATTCGGATGCGGGTTTGCTGTCTGCGTTCGATCTGCGTCGCCACGTCGGCATACCCATTGCCTGATCTGGCCACCAGCAAGCCGAACCGTGGAGCTCCTGTTGTGGCACGCCTTCGCGAGGGGGACAAGATTCGTATTTCCAGCCCCTTGGACGTCTCTGGTCGCACGCTTGGCCGCGTAGACCCACACCTTGCTGGCTGCTCCTGGTCTGCCTTGGGGGCTCTCGGGGATGCCGTGGGCTATCTCAGACCTGTGCGCTGGGGTGCTCTTGGGCTGCCTCGAGGGCCCCTTCGGCGCTCGGGACACCTCTGGGATTAGGTCGGGATTTTGGAGGAATTATCCTGGCGAAAGTCCCAACCATATGCAGTTGTGGGTACCGTAATTGTGAATATCTGCTTCGGTGAAGCTCCCTATGGGGCCACGAAGCGCTGCACTGGGCGGGGGGGAACGCTGTACTGTGTGGGTGGTGTGCCGATTCGGATTTCCGGGACGCATGCGGACGGTCCCACTGAGGGCTGGCCACGAAGCGCTCTACTGAGTGAAAATGCCAAATTGGGTTTCCGGGACGCGTGCGGACGGTCCCACTGGGGGCTTCGGTGGAGCCCCCTATGGGGCCAAGAACGCTGCACTGCGCGGGTGAAACTGCCAAATTACATTTCCCGGACGCATACGGACGGTGGCACTGGGGCCTTGGGTGGAGCCCCCTATGGGGCCACGAAACGCTGCATTGGGTGGGGGAAAATGCCAAATTGGGCTTCCAGGGCGCATGCGGACGGGGGCACTGGGGCCTTCGGTGGAGCTCTCTATGGGGCCACGAAGCGCTGTACTGTGCGTGCGGGACGCATGCGGACGGTGGCACTGGGACCTTCGGTGGGGCTCCCTACGGGGCCACGAAACGCTGTACTGGGTGGGTGAAACGCAGGGAGGAGGGGGAGGAGGGCCACGAAACGGTGTACTGGGTGTGCGGGACGCATGCGGACGGTAGCACTGGGACCTTCGGTGGGGCTCCCTATGGGGCCACGAAACGCTGTACTGGGTGTGCGGGACGCATGCGGACGGTAGCACTGGGACCTTCGGTGGGGATCCCTACGGGGCCACGAAACGCTGTACTGGGTGTAAGGCAGGGAGGAGGGGGAGGAGGGCCACGAAACGCTTTACTGGGTGTGCGGGACGCATGCGGACGGTAGCACTGGGACCTTCGGTGGGGCTCCCTATGGGGCCACGAAACGCTGTACTGGGTGTGCGGGACGCAGGGAGGAGGGGGAGGAGGGCCACGAAACGCTGTACTGGGTGTGCGGGACGCATGCGGACGTTAACGGGAGGGGGGGGAGGAGGAGAGGAGGAGAACGCGGGGACCGTAATTTCAAAACGAGGACCCGACACCACAGGATGGTTGGGAAAAATAAAACATACTAAAATTATCCAGGCGAAGGTCCCAACCATATGCAGTTGTGGATACCGTAATTGTGAATATCTGCTTCGGTTAAGCTCTCTATGGGGCCACGAAGCGCTGCACTGGGCGGAAAGAACGCTGTACTGTGTGGGTGGTGTGCCGAATTGGGTTTCCGGGACGCATGCGGACGGTCCCACTGAGGGTTTCGATGGAGCTCACTATGGGGCCACGAAGCGCTCTAATGAGTGAGTGGAAATTCCAAATTGGGTTTCTGGGACGCATGCGGACGGTCCCACTGGGGGCTTCGGTGGAGCCCCTTATGGGGCCACGAAACGCTATACCGCGCGGGTGAAAATGCCAAATTACATCTCCCGGACGCATACGGACGGTGGCACTGGGGCCTTGGGTGGAGCCCCCTATGGGGCCACGAAACGCTGCACTGGGTGGGTGAAAATGCCAAATTGGGCTTCCAGGACGCATGCGAACGGTAGCACTGGGACCTTCGGTGAAGCTCCCTATGGGGCGACGAAACGCTGTACTGGGTGTGCGGGACGCATGCGGACGGTAGCACTGGGACCTTCGGTGGAGCTCCCTATGGGGCCACGAAGCGCTGTACTGGGTGTGCGGGACGCATGCGGACGGTAGCGCTGGGACCTTCGGTGGGGCTCCCTGTGGGGCCACGAAGCGCTGTACTGTGCGTGCGGGACGCATGCGGACGGTAGCGCTGGGACCTTCGGTGGGGCTCCCTACGGGGCCACGAAACGCTGTACTGGGTGAGTGAAACGCAGGGAGGAGGGGGAGGAGGGCCACGAAACGCTGTACTGGGTGTGCGGGACGCATGCGGACGGTAGCACTGGGACCTTTTGTGGAGTTCCCCATGGGGCCACGAAACGCTGTACTGGGTATGCGGGACGCATGCGGACGGTAGCACTGGGACCTTCGGTGGGGATCCCTACGGGGCCACGAAACGCTGTACTGGGTGTGCGGGGCGCATGCGGACGGTAGCACTGGGACCTTCGGTGGGGCTCCCTACGGGGCCACGAAACGCTGTACTGGGTGGGTGAAACGCAGGGAGGAGGGGGAGGAGGGCCACGAAACGCTGTACTGGGTGTGCGGGACGCACGCGGACGGTGGGAAGGAGGGGGAGGAGGAGGAGAGGAGGAGAACGCGGGGCGACGTCTCTTCAAAACGAGGACCCAACACCACAGGATGGTTGGGAACAATATTTCCAAAATGGCCAAAAATAACAGAAAAGTAGTCCCCAGACTATTTTTGACGATTTGTTGCATATTCCTCCTGTAGAGGGACAGGCCCGACTTAACTCTGGGAGGGGAGCGCATTTGGACGCGTCTTCGGCTGAAGGCCGGGCAAGCCAAAAACTAAATCCGCCGACCAAGTCGGCGCGTGTGAGGGGTATTACGTTTGAGTCGTCTTCTCCGAAAGATCTGTCCAAGACGCCTTGATGGCCTCCAGACGGCCCATGAAGCCTGAAAGACGCCCCAAAAGGCCTCCAGGAGCACTCTCAAGAAGGCCCCAAGAGGCAAAATTCATAAACATATCCCGCCGGTTTTTGACGGATTCTGGCGTTCTCGCCTCTTCTGCTTCCCGACACTCCAAGACGGCCCAAGAGGTCCCCAAAATCGCGTCATCGTCCTCCACCTGCCCATTGCCCTCATCGACCTCCTCCTGCCCCAACTCCTCTTCCTCATCCTCCTCCGCATGCGCTTCCTCTTCCTCCCCCTCCCGCTCCAACGCGTCCTCCTCCTACTCCTCCTCGTCCTCCTCCTCCTGCTCTTCCTCCTCCTCCACCTCCTCCTCCTCCTCACCCTTTCCCTACTCCTCATCCCCCTCCTTCGCATCCTCCACTTCATCATCCTCATCCTCATGATCATCCTCCTCATCATGTTTCCCCCCTCCCCGCGTGCTCCTCCCCCGGTGCTCCGCAACCTTACCTCGACCTCTTCCTCCCCCCCCCTCCTCCTCCTCCTCCTCCTCCTCCTCCTCCGCCTTCTTCTCATGCCCCTCCTCCTCCCCCTCATCCGCGTCCTCCTTCTTCTCATGCTCCTCCGACTTCCATGATCCTCGTCCTCCTACTGCTCGCCCCCCTGGTGCTCCCCCTGCCCCTGGTCCCCCTCCTCTGGAGTGCCCTTTGTAAGCCAACTGCACCTTCCATGTTGTTGCGCAACCGCTGGCAAATGTGCAAAAGGACCTGGGCGAGCCCAGAGATCAGACCGAAAATCAGGTGAAGCGAAGCCTTCGCTTCACTGCACATGAGTGGCTCTCGGGAAAAACTCTAGGCTAGCGACTGAACAGGTGTAAGACAACGGCGCCAACTTACTGAAAGCTCACGCGCGACTGTGTGCAGGCCGCAGGACCATTTGTCCACCGGCGTGTCGTCAGGAATCTCAGGTACTCAGAGCTCCTGAGATTTACGCTCAAACGACCACCATCTGGGTTGGTCCAGCCCATGGCTTACCAGCCTCCTGAACAGCCGCCTTGACATCGGCTGGTCCGCTGCCGACAAGCTTGGCGCAGATGTCGAAGCGCATCTGGTCCGCTGGAGGGCTCAGGAGAGCGGCAGACGCAACGGAGACGACGTCCGCACGCGGAACCATGTAGAAACCAATGTTGAACCAGTCGTTCGCATCGGCGACGTCATCATGGCCGATAAGGAGCTCGCGGTCGCCCGCAGCGTCTTCGGAGAGGCCGCATGGCTTCACGATGGTGTAAGGCACGCCCTGCTCGATGATGTACTTCTCTGCCTTAGCCTTGTCCTCCAGCACGTGGTTGTGAGGCTTCGAGGTGCTCATGGACGAGAACAAGACAATGCGCTTGCCATCCTTGCCCCCAGCCAGAAGAGTCTCGACCTGGTTCTTGACACCGTACCATTCGATCTTGTCCACCACATCGTCGGGCTCATCTCCATGTGCGCCGACCGCAATCACTACTGTATCCACGCCGTTGAATGCGCCCTGAATGGTGTTCTTGTTAGTCACGTCGCCGAGGTAGATGCCCTCAGACTCATCACACTTCTCGCAACCCAGAACTGCTTTCGCTTTGTCCGCAGAGTGGACAAGCGCACGCACATCAACCTTCGCATCCTGCAGAGCCTTGTACATGAGAGATCCAGTACGGCCTGTTGCGCCAGTGACAATCGTTGCACCATGGGCGCAAGAAGCAAGGGCTGCACCGACAATAACGGATCGGCGCATATCTGATAAATGGAAGGCTTCAACAACTGGTCGGTTGGAAAACGATTGATTGCTGAGCCCGTCCGGATGCTCGAGCCAAACTTGCTACGGAAGCCTCTTAGGCCTTCTAATTGGCCTCCTGGGGCCCTCTTGGGCTCTTGGGCCTGCACGGGGCGCTCCTGGGACGATCCTTTGACTCGTCCAAAGGAAGCTCGCTTGGGGCAACCTTGAGCGCACGCAGCCGAACGTTCATAGTCTGTACGGCTTCCTTCCATCTGATGGTGGCAATACGCAAACACGTTCTGGCCGAAACGAGCACCAGCAAAAACGGAATCCAAACGCAAAACGTCTTTCGAGTCGGGCGAAAGGGGGGGATAGCAAAAGGGGGGTTTAAAAATCAGCTCGCGTAGCTGATTTTGCCGGCGCCTCCCGGCGCCGGAGGCGGCTATGTATCGAGGAATGGCCCCCTCGGTGAGGCCGAAACCAGCTGCATGCAGCAGATTTCGTAACCCCCCTTTCCCTATCCCCCCCTTTCGTCCGGCCCGAGTCTTGGCCGTCTGGAGCCCACGTGAGCCCGCTTGTGGCCGCTGGGGACCCCTGGGCGGGCCCCCGGAGCGCGGGTGCGTCCGTGGCCCGTCTCGGGGGGCCCTCGTGGGGCCCTCGAGGCACCCGATGGGCTCCAGGGGGCACTGAGGGCCGGGACCCATCGCCAGACGGACCTGCGAGACGATTCCCGCGGTGCTGCGAGCGCCGTCGCCTGCAGGCGGGGGCACTGAGGGCCGGGACCCATCGCCAGACGGACCTGCGAGACGATTCCCGCGGTGCTGCCCGCGAGCGCCGTCACCTGCAGGCTGAAAGAGGAGGAGGAGGAGGAGGAGGAGGAGGAGGAGGAGGAGGAGGAGGAGGCAGGGGCGGGGGGCGAAAACAAAGATGGGGGGTAGGGAGAGGGGGGGAGAACAAGCTAGGCGTGCTCGCACCAGGTGCCTGACACCCTGCCCCTCCCCACCTCCCGCCTGTCCCTTCCCACTCCTCGGGATGCTTGCCTTTGGCCAGATGGGGTGTCCTGTCTGGGGGGCCCAAAGAGTATACACCACCACCACGTCGATTCCTCCTCCCATCCCGACACTCCTCCTCCGACTCCTCCTCCTCTCCTCTTGCCTGGGAGAGGGAGGGGGTGAAGGAGGTGGTGGTGGTGTATATCTTTGGGCCCCCCATTGTCCGCTAGCTGGTGTATCTGCCAGCTGGGGTGGCCTCTTAGTGGGCCCTGGAAACGACAGGGCCGTTTTGTTACCGGCTCCGTTTTGCCGTTTTTTTGCCGGTCCCGACGCCTTTTTTTTACCGGTTCCGTCGCCGTTGTTTGACCGGTTCTGGCTCCAGTTCGAGTCCTGGAGCCGATTTTTAGCCGTTTCCAGTCGCCGTTTTTTTGCCGTTTCCATTTCCAAAGGGCATTTTTTTGGAAACTGTGAAAAAAACGGCCCTGCCGTTTCCGGGGCCCACGAAGGGTGGCCCCATCGTGTGATGCACAGTCAGAGAAGTGGGCTTCACAAGTCTGGCGGCATGGGCGGCCACGAGTTGCCGAGAAACCGAGAGCCGACCGAACCGATGACGAAACCGAAACCGATCGAAACCGAAAGGGGGCCTGCAGAACCGAATCAGCCGACCGAAACCGACCGAACGCGAAAACCGAACTGCAGGGTCACAGTGGCGCAGCCAGCATGCGCTCTCGCTCCCCGCGACGGCGCACCCCTCACACGCTTCATGGCCCCATCAGAGCTCCGCTAAAATTCCCAGCGGCGCAGCCCGCGCGCGCTCCCGCAAGGAACTTCGGCGAACCCCTCGCAAATTTCGTGGCCCCATAGATGCTCCGCCCAAGGCCCCGGCGGCGCAGCCAGCATGCGCCCCCGCCGCAAATTTCAGCACACACCCCGCGCGTTTCGCGAAGGTTCAAGTGGCGCAGCCAGCATGCGTCCGCGCTAATTTCGGCGCGCCCCCCCCGCGCTTCGCCCCATAAAATCATAGGCGGAAGTCCAAGTGGCGCAGCCCGCACGCGCCCCCGCGACTCATTTCAGCGCACCCCTCAACCGCAACAAAGAGCACTGGCAGCAAGAAAACTTGTACTCTCCCTGCAAGCGGATCCTGGGGGCCGCCGCGGTCGGCGGTCGTCGTCGGCGGGCGAAAACCACGCAGCGCGGAGCCCGGCAGCGAACTCATGTCGCATTCGGGGCCTAGGGGCGGCATTGCGTCGCAATCGATGCCCCAGACCTGGGCCCTCTGCAGATGAGCGCGGCATTGCGTCGCAATGAATGCGCCCCTGCTTCCCCCGGCAGCGCTGCGCGCCTACAGCGGCAGAGGGCCGAGGGGCCAGCGCCCCGCGACCCCCGAGTTTTCCCTGGCCACCGCTGTATCGCAAACGGTGGAGGGATCGAGGTTCTGCCTCGTGTAGTCGAGGAGGAACCTGCAGGTGCTCCGCAAGCGCTCCACGCGGTGGTTCGCCCCGGGGATGGCCAGGAACTTGCGCGCGACGGGGCCGAGCACCATCGCCTGCGGGGAAAAAGCTTACACCGTCTTGTAAGAGGGTACAAGGTTCCTTGCTTAATAACCTCCCAGTGGTTTGCTCCCTCCTGAACGCTTAAGGCTTAGGGCTTGGGGCATAAGGCATGGGGCTGAGGGCTTGGGGCTTCAGGGTTGGGGCTTAAGGCAAAGGGCTCCAGGCTAAGGGCGTACTTAGGGCTGAGGGCTGGCGGGGTTACATAAGGGCTACCAGGTGCCCCGAAAGCGATTTTTCGTGGCCCGAAAAATTGTGTTGGGCCCCCCGCAACCGTCAATGCCCAGACTACCCTCGAGCGGACTCCGAATCCTGAGCACGCCCAAAAACGATGTTTCGAGGCCTGAAAAATTGTTTTGGGCACCCCCCAACCGTCAATGCCCAGACTACCCTCGAGCGGACCCCGATTCCTGATCACGCCCGAAAGCGATTTTTTCGCGGTCCGATAAATTGTTTTGGGCACCGCAACCGTCAATGCCAAGACTACCCTCGAGCGGGCCCCGAATCCTGAGCCCGCCGAAAACGATTTGTCGAGCTCCAAGAAATCGCTTTCCCAAGGCCGTTGTCGCGGGGAAGCGCGAGGCAACCCTGGACTTCATGTTCCGAGGTCGCTCCAGAAATTGCCCGCCCGACGGCCTCGGCCTTCGCGGCCCGCCCCGGCTTCCCCGACTCCTCGAAATTCTCGAAGGGGCAGCTCTCCAAGGGGGGCATCGCGGTGTCCTCGCTGAAGTAAACCTCCAACGTGCTCGAGATCAGGTCGTCGTCAGTCCCAGGTCTGTCGCGCGGCTCGCCCTGCGACCTTTTCAAGCGCTTGAGCGCGCGATCTGTGGCGGAAGACCGCGCGGCGGGCGCGGGGGCGGCCGCCGCTGGCTGGGCGGGCGGCGCCGGCTGGGCTAGCTGCTGACTCGCCTGCAGCATGCTCTTCGCATGATCCTTCACGATGCGGATGACCTCGGCGCGCTGCTCGCCAGACAAGGGGACGCCTCGCAGGCGTGTGCGCGGGTCCACGGCGCTAGCGACCAGAAGCGTTTCTTCGGAGGACTGCAGATGGTGCTGATTCGCCATCAGGTCTTCCAGCACGGCAGCCCGCAGGGCCAGCGCCTGGGGCCGCAAGGCCGCGCCAGCGATGGTAGCGTACTCGCGGAACTCCCCCCTCGCACGGCGCGTCGGGCTGGAAGTCCTGCTCGACCGTGACCATGAGAGGCACGACCTCGCTGGCGAAAGCCCGATGCGCCTGCATGGCGTCCGCGGCGTCGGAAACCAGGCGCAGGGCGCCAATGACTTGGCGCGCGAGATCATACTGCGCCTCCGACAAGCGGGCGTGAACCGGGAGACGAGTGTTCTCGTTGTCGTATGCGACGATCGCTACCTGGAGAGCGCAGATGCCTTCCAGCATCGTCACCGCAGACGTCCACGCAGAGGAATTGTCCAGGACAAGCTGGCGCGGAGGGCAGCCGATGCGCTGGGTGACCCTGGCGAGCTCAATCGCGCAGTTCTCGTGCCGGCGGAAGTGCTTCACGAGGGCCCGCGCCGTCTCGCACAGGTTGCACACGGCCGGCACGGACCTCTCGTGGGCCTGGTGGACCTCGTTCCCCGCGACCACGCGCTTCACCGGGAACAGGAGATGACGCGGGGTCAGATTGTAGATGTGGCACATGCACCTGAGCTGCTGCACGTTCAAGCACCTGGAGATATTTATGGCATTCCCGGTGTTGTCGCTCTCCACCGCCCAGAAGAGGTCCTCCACCTTGATGCCCCGCTGTTCCTTGCAGCTCCAAATCATCCTCTGCGCCTGGTTAGCGGCCGTGTGCTCTGCGCCCAGGACGTCGCAGTACAAGAGCAAGGAAACGCGCTTGAAACCAGTCGTGACGCCGTGGAGGATCAATCCAAAGTATGACTGCTTATTCGGAGCGGGCCACATGTCAACTTCCGCAACTGCCTTATTCCCTCCAGCCAGGATGTCCGCCAAGATGTTTCGGACGCGCGAAGCCACTTCCTCTCGGAAACACTTCACGTGCCGCGTCACCGTCTGCCTGGAGGGCAACTGCACGCGGGGCATCAGCATCTGCAGGACCGCTTTGGCGCCAGGGGCTTCGAACACTCTGAACGGCCTCAGGTCGATGACGCAAAATGCGATGCTGAGAGCGCGACCTATCTGCGTCTGCGCATCCGGCGGATACGGAGCCTCCGAACGCTTGGCCGCGTGGAAGGCCAAGTGCGGGTGAACCCGTCTCAAATGCTCCAGGATGTTCGAAGTGCTACCAGCAGCGTAATCCCGGCAACCGTCCTGCTGCCATTTATCTTGGCTGACGGGATTGCCATCCTCGCCAAGTGGGCAGCAGATTCTACAGAACACTTCCTTGGGCTGCGAATGCAGAAGATACGCATGCTTCCATACGTCGGCCCTGCCTTTCTTGGGCACGCACGTGTCCACGCCCCCCCCAGCCGCCCGCTTCTCGTCGGCGTTCAGGAGCGCCGCCTCTGCTCGGAGCAATTCTCGGTATTGGCCAGGCTCTTCTTACGGAGGCGTTTGATGACGAGAGCATCTTGGGCAGCTCCTGGAAGGCGACAGATGAACTGAGCGATCTCGTCCGGTGCCGCCTCAGCGTCCTGCGACGACGGCTGCGACGAGGGCGCCGATGGCGCTTCGTCCGGTTCGCCAGCGCCCTCGCCAATGATGACATCCGCCATATCCGCATCGATGTCCTGCGCGGGTGGGGGAGCTTCTGCCGCCGGAGCTGCATCACGTGCTGGTGCTAGCTGGACATCGCCCGGCGGCGCGCCGACTGGCAGCGCCGCCACCGCTGCTTGTGGTGGCGCCGACTGGCAGGGCCGCCACCGGTGGCGCGCCGAGTGGCAGGGCCGCCACCGCTGCAAGTGCTGGGCCCGCAGTCCGGTCGTGCTCTCGCAAACGTTCGGCCATAATGGCCTTGGTGCCCTCTGCGGATATGCCTCGACGATTGCACTCTGCCACAAGAGTTGGCCGATTCATCGCGCTGTATCGCGTCATAGAGCAGTGTTACCAGCCCGAAATCCCGGGGGCTCGAAAACACTTGCGAAAGAGTATCTTTATGATGCCTGGGCCAGACAACCAGTGGGTCGTCCCAGGACTTCTTGAACCATAAAGGCTTCGGAGGAGAGGAGGGGGAGGAGACTGAAACAGGGCCTCTCGGAGCCTGCGGGGCGCCTCCACAGCCCCCGGACGCTGAAAAAACACGCCCCTTATCCTGGCCCGACAACGGCCCCCAGAAGCCGGTCCTTAATTCGGGGGTGAGCGGAGGGCGGACCAAGGGACTGCCAGAGGGGTCTGACACGCCCCCCGCGCCAGGGCACAGCCCTGGCGCGGGGCAGGCACCGCCCAGGGCGGCCCTCGACGTGCCAGATGCCCCCCCAACAGCCCCTTGTACGCGCCCCCTGCACACCCCCTCACTCCACGCCCCTCTCTGGACACACGCTCTCCATGCAGCACGGCAGCCCCGTGGGGTTCAAAGGTCGCGACGGCAGCACCCAGGGAGGGATGTCGTTCCGCGCCGCCGAGGCGGCGCGGCGACGCCACACGGCAGGCCGCAGCAAAACAACATCCTTCCCTGAATGCAGCCGCCGCGACCTTTGGACCCCGTAAGGTCAGCGCGTCCGAGCCTGTTGGAGCCTCCGGGGCGCCTCCAGAGCCCCCGGACGCCGACACAGCATTTTTCGAGGCCTGAAAAATTGTTTTTCTCGCCCCATGGCCGTTTGGGGCCTCCGGGGCGCCTCTGGGGTCCCCGGACGCCGAAAAAATATTTCTCGAGGTATCAAAAATTGTTTTCTCGCCTCCAAAGCCGTTTGGACCTCCGGGGCGCCTCCGGAGCCCCCGGGCGCAGAAAAAGCATTTTTCGAGGCCTGAAAAATTATGTTTGCTGCAAGCTTTGTTCCCACCCCGATTGCGAGGCGTCACGGCCGCCACCCAGCGAGCGATCGAGGCGTCACGGCCGCCACCCACGGGAATCGACGATTAATTGTGTCTGTGTGTTTTTTCCTTCCTGACCAGTTCTGGGCAGGGGGGGCGCGTCGGGGCCCGGCGCTCCCTGATCCATGGTGAGGGGGCTCCACGACTGGGCTCTCTGACTGGGCAAGGGCGGTTCATGCCATTCATGAGCTGGGGGCCTTTTTCATGGAGAGGGGGCTCCATTCTCGGGTCGGGCGAAAGGGGGGGATAGCAAAGGGGGGGTTTGAGAATCAGCTCACGTAGCTGATTTTCCCGGCGCCTCCAGGCGCCGGAGGCGGCTATGTATCGAGGAAGGGGCCCCTCGGTGAGGCCGAATCCAGCTGCATGCAGCACATTTCGTAACCCCCCCTTTCCCAATCCCCCCCTTTCGTCCGGCCCGACATTCGTGGAGAAGGGGCCCCATGAATGGAGAAGGGTGATTCATGGAGAAGTGCCCGGCGTCCTCCCGGGGAGCCACGCCCACCATTGGGGAGCCCACAACAAAGATGCTCGCGCCCAGCCGCGCTCACGAGTGCGACCCCCCAGTCCGCGCGACTCGTGTTACGAACGCTTGCGCAACGCACACTCTCGAAATCCACAGCGTTCATGCAGGCGTACGTATTGTCGTCGCTCCTGAACCACTCGTGCCGCCACCATTTCAACCCTACTGGCGGGACCTGGGGTGTGAACTGATCTTTTTGTCCTCATCTGGAGGGAATTCCGCGTCCACGTCCAACCGTCGTACAATGCTTGGCTTGGCCACGAAGCGCAGCGAACCCAAAGAAGCGGGAAAAGGCGGCAACGGTGCGCGTGACATGGTAGGCCCAACCGGCCAAACCAAGAAACTCGACACAACACGAAAATCTGCTTGACAAGCAAGCAGCACAGCGGAAGACCGACTGCGGCGTTGTCGCTGGGACCTGTCTCAGTATTCCTTCTGGATGTACACCCCCTGCTCTTAGAGGGAAGAGAACTATGCACATGCACCGATTCTGGCCAGGCCCATCCTGAGCCCAGGATCGGTGCATACGCCCTCCTACCTTGGCCAGGAAGGCATATGCACCGATCCTGGGTCAAGGATGGGCCTTGCCAGGATCAGTGCATGTGCATAGTTCTCTTCGCCCGAGCTCTAGCCGACCAACAGCAAACCTGGGGCTATGTGGGCATTGTGCGCGCTGTGGGGGAAAATCTCGCGCTTTGAGCTTCCCGGCGCTCGTCGAGGACCCGCCACGCCCCCACGACGGCAGCTGCGACCTCCACGGCGCCCACACAGGCGCCCAGGACCAACCCCAAAAGAAAGCCAGCCAAAGGACCCGATCGGACACTCCGAGCCCTCGGCCCCAAAAAGGTCACAGGAGATCCCACCATAACCCCCACAAGGCTGACACGAGGCCCCCACCAGACGGCATCTACTACGCCCCCAAGGAGTCGGCGGTGCGGCGTAAGCCCGAGAATCTACCTGACAAGCAACCAGCACAGCGCCCTCAAAATGCCGTCCATCTCTGCCAGGATAGCAAGAGAATATGGCCAAACACACGCAGGTATGGCAACTGCACGCCTGCCAGCGACGCCTCGCCACTTCCAGCACCCGCCTCGAGTAGGGAGAAGAGGTCCGGAATAATCACATGATGTACCAACGATGCTGCAATGCGATCTCCCCTTCCTTGCCCCTGTTCATAACAGGAGAGCCCAGAATCGAATCGATAAGTCGGATCGGAAATCGAAACGAATCGGATCGGCGTAAATCGGCAGCCGAACCGGGGAAAAATCGAATCGGCGTAAATCGGCAGGCTAGCATGCCTCCAATGAGAAGTTGGAACCGACATCGGAATCCCGATTCGAATCGAATCCCTTTTCCTTCTATATTCCACCCTCGCTCGCCGCCGGAATGGATGCGCAGAAGACACTATCGTTTGCAGTCGATTCCCTCCCTCTCGCACCAGACACCCAGGCTGCACTCAAACCCAAACGATACCTCGCAGCTCTCAGCAAGGCTGCCGACTGCGCAGCTGCTGGTACTTCCGTGGGCAAGAGTGCTGCGTATCTCTCACTGTGCTCTTTTGTAAGATGTGAGAAGCACACCTCGAGAAAGGGCTGGGCACTTCTCGGGTATGCTTTGGGGCATCGGCCGCTTGACTCAAGCAGCGTTCGAGCGGCGCCGCGGCGCTTCCGAGGCGAATTGAGACACGAGAGCAGGCACGGCGGAAGATGCCAAGCAACAGCAGCGGTCCAACACCGACAGCGGCCGCTGTGGGGCAGGCGACGTCTTGCCTCGAGTGCACAGCGGCCGCGGCAACACCGACAGCGAGTCCTGTGCAAAACGGAGAAGAGCTGCTGCCGCCACCCAGCGAGCGATCGAGGCGTCACGGCCGCCACCCAGCGAGCGACCGATCGAGGCGTCACGGCCGCCACCCAGCGAGCGATCGAGGCGTCACGGCCGCCGCCCAGCGAGCGAGCGAAAGTTCCGCTGACCCACGAAATTCTCTGAACGCCTCCCCCATCCTCCTCCTCCTCCCCCTCCTCCTCCTCCTCCTCCTCCTCCTCCTCCTCCTCCTCCCCGGGGGCAGGGGAGGCATCTTAGAAGGCCTGGAGGAGGGGAGATAGGAACAGGAGCGGGCTGCGATCTTTGTCGCAGCGACGCCAGGAGGCGCGCCAACTACGCAGCGCGCCCGTCCAGCGCCCTCGCGCTCTGGGGGGGCCCAGACCCCCCGGGCGCCGAGAAAACATTTTCCGAAGCCCCAAAAATTGTTTTCGCGTGCCCCCGCGGCCTTTCGGAGCCTCCGCGGCCCCCGGTGCCCCCGGACGCCGAAAAAAAAAACGAGGCCCGAAACATTGTTTTTGGGCGCCCCCGGGGCCTACTGGAGCCTCCGAGGCGCCTCCGGCGCCCCTGGGCGCCGAAACAAATTTGCCGATGCCTTTTTTATTGTTTTTGTTGCGCCCGCCGGGGCCCTTCGGGGGCGCCGGACCCCCCCCCGGAGGCCTTTTCGCCGGCGCGCCTATCAGCCGAGCGGCGCAGCCTCGCCCTCCTCGCCGGCGGGGGCAGCCCGCGCCGCGGGGGCGCCGGCCTCCTCCTCCATGCCCAGGGGAACGCCCAGGTATGCTGATGCAGCCGCCCCCGCTGCTGAGGTCGCCGGCTGTTGCTGATGCGATAGGCTCCGCTTCATCGAAAAATTGGCACGGAAGATCATGACCCTGCAGATGCCGTGGAGCAAAGGGCGCTCGAGGATGTCTGGGAGCTTCCGATTTTGGAGCACCCACCCCATGATCTCTGGGCCCCACGCCCCGTCCTGGGTCGGAGCGGGGGGAATGGACCCGGAGCCCCCCCCCGAATCGAGCCACTCGGTGATATCAGCGAAGGAGTCCATTTGCTCAGTCTCGTTCATGTCGTTCCATAGAGGAAGCAGTGCGCCAGCGACGTCGAGCTTGTGCTGCGGCAATTTATAGTACAAGATGTCGGCCACCTTGCCTTGGGCATCGTTGGCGTCGCATGCGAAGGCGAGCCGCTTGGCCGCGTTCAGCTGCTCGGCCTCATCCACGCCGAGGACCTCTCCGACAAGGCGGGCGATGCCCTCCGGGTCGAGGAGGGTGCTCGCCACGTCGGCGGCCATAGCCGGATCCAGTGGCGGCGCGGGCCGCCCGCCGCTGCCAGAGCCACCGCGTTCGATGTTCAGCATCCTCATCGCCGGGTGCAAGTCGTTCGGCATCAAAGTCAGGCGCTTCGCATGGATCGTCATGAAATAGGACTCCTGGAACAAATGGGTGAGAAACGATTCCCCCACAGCGTGCAGCGCCTTCATCGCTTCCGAGCTGAACTTGATTTTCTCGTCCGACAAATCAGTCACGAGCTCCTGGACCAAGCGGCACACGGCTTTCTTCGGAACGAGCAAGTGAGTAGTCCGCCAATGCGCTTGCAGCGCTCGGGTCACGACGGGCCATTGTTCGCTTCTCGAAAATCTGTTTTCGGCGTCCGGAGGCGCCCCGGGAGCTCCTGGGGCGCCTCCCAGAGGGTGCCGAGACGCTGGAAATAGCAACCCTAACGTCTATACGTTAATTTGAACGTCTTGCGTTAGATCACTTTTAGACGTTAAAATAACGTCCTTGTGCGATTATCGCACTCAGGCAGGGCATGCGATATTGTCGATCGCAGCTCTGCTTTTCCTCGATGCATATTCGTGTGCGTTGCAAAAAAAAAATCAGCTGCTCTCCTCCTCCTCGTCGTTATTCTCCCCCTCCTCATCTTTTTGCTTCCCCTCTCCTCTCCTCTCTCCTTCTTCTCTTTTCCGTGTTCGGCCGGTCCTTCCGACTCGATCTTCGTTCGGGCGGGGGGGGGGGCGAGGGGGGCGGCGCTTGCGGGCGGGCGCCCCTGGCGCCGCCGCGCCACCGCCCGCCCCGCCCAGCCATTGGAAGAGGGATTTGGGTCCAGGCCGTCTGTTGCTCTAAATCTAGCTCTCGCCATGGCGCCGCGCACGTTGGTTGCCGCGGAGTGATGGGCGGAGGTGGCCTGAGACCTGAAATGAAATTCCTGCCTCGACGCCACGCACGACAGTTTTTGCATGCAACAATCACGCGGGTCGAGGGGGCGCGTTACTCAATGTGGCATTCTCGCCTCAATGCCGCGAACGTTTGCTATATATCCCCAGTTCTAGCGGATTCGCATAAAGGGCGACTCAAAATGGAGCTCACGCCTTAGCGCAACACGTAATTGGCCTACAACATTGCTGCAGCTCCACGGATGGAGGGCGCGTCCAATGTGCAATTGCCGCCTCAGTGCCGCGCGCATTGGGCCGCGGTGAGAAGGAGCGCGCGCATGGACATAAAAGGGGGGCGCGAGCAAAAGAATGAGAACAAAACAACAAAACGCAACGACACAAAGCCGTGCAGCCGGTTTGGTTCAAGCCTTTCGGCGCAGACCTGATCCGTGTTTCTCAGGATGACTGGGTCGACCCCGAAGGCCAAAATGATGGAGAGTGGCGCAGCCGAGAGCCCGCCCAAACCAGAGCCAGTCCCGAGGACACGTTACGGTGAGGAGATCAACGGCGCTCTGACTGAGGCACTCACACCGCTGGTCGATGACAAAGGCTGGCCCATGTACGGACACGCCCTGGCATCGGAGATGCTGGACCGCGGCAGGGTTGAGAAGTTGGGGGAGGTGCTGAGAGCGATTCGCCAGGTGGCCTGCTGATTTAACGTTTGTCATCTCTTGCTCCTGCCCCCTCGCTTCTCCTCATCTGCCCTGTCGCGTCGTCGGCTGCGCGCCCCCATCCTTGCCCAGGCGGCGCCGAACTTCTCGATCGCCCCGCACGTGGTGGAGGAGGTCATGGCCAACATCGGCACGGCCAAGAAGGACGACATCAAGTTGCAAGAGGTTGAGTCCTGGGCCAAAGGCGCGTCGCTGAGGCTCCGAACTCTCTTGCTTCACGCGGCTGGCCTCGCTCGCAAGGAGAAGCCGCCGAACAGGGCTCCTGCGTGGTGGACCAACCTCATGGCCAACGAGAGCAAGGTCCCAGAGCCGAAGAAGGCAGCGCTGCAGAAGAGCAACGTGAAGGACGAGACCAAGCCCGATAAGGAGCCCAAGCCCGAGGAGGGATCCAAGCCCGAGGATGCGTTCACGTTCGGATACGACGAGAGCATGAAGCGTGCATGGAGATGCGATGCATTCGCGGATCGATTTCAGCCTGAAGAAGCGACAGCATGACCGTCAAGCCAGGCGAGACCTACGTCTGGGCGAAGTGGGCAGACGGAATGGAGTACGAGGTGCTGGACTGCCTGGCGTCGACCTTTCTCGAGGATGCTGGACCTGCGCCCTCGAAGACGCCGCGATGGGGCAACATCTTGTGGACGGGCAACATGGACGGCCTCCAGGTGCAGGTCAAGCTTGTGATGGATAGGGGGATCAAGCTGATTCAGATCAAGCACAACTTGAAGCAGGTCACGCAGCTCTCCACGCACGCCGTCGAGGAGGCGGAGGCGGTGGAGCTCATGAAGGACATCGCGAAGCGCTACTGCGAGGGGCGCCTCACGGCCCAAGACGCCGAGCAGCTGAAGAGGGAGAAGCTCAAGGAGCTGAAGAAACGCAAGGAGAAGGACGAGAAGGCGGCGGCACTGGCTGCGACCAGCGCAGCTTCGTCCATCGAGACGCAGCCTGCGGAGGCGGCGGTGCGGAAGCGCCCAGCTGCCGCCCCCAAAAGAGCTTGCAAGAAAGCCAAACACGAGGAGCCCGACAAGGAAGCAGCCACCGAGGAGAAGGGCGCACCCATGAATGGAGTGGAGAACCTGACGATCGTCGAGAAGAAGCCCGAGGAGAAGCCCCATGAGGGCAAGGAGGAGCCTCAGCCGCTGGAGAACCCCCAGGAAGCAAAGGAGGGGCCACCAGAGGAGACGGGCGAGCCCACGAGCGAGGTCGTCGAACCCATCGACGACGACTCCACGGACGATAGCCCCGATGATATCCGAGAGATCCCGCCTCCAGTGACTGGCCCGTGGGAGAGTATGACCACCTCGCTGAACGCCATGATGGACGATGTTGTTGAGTGATCTGATTTCTGGAACAATGCGTTTGACGATGATGATGCGTGAACCGTGCACGGCATGTCGCCACGATGAGTTTGGTCTATGTGCGAGAGGGATTTTCAGATGGCTTGGCGGGGGAGCTGAGCCCACCGATCTCTTGAGCCTTTCTATTTCTGTGTTGTGTACATTTGCGTTCATTCTGGTGCGCACTGCGTCGCTAGCGCTCTCGTCTCAAGTGTGTTATGTTGTTTTCCTCTCGCGCTCAGTTCTTTCAGTTTGCCGAGCTCGGGCAGACAGCGAAGCTGTCCAACGCACTCCAAGTGTGTTTCCAGGAAGCCGATTGAACCTCAAACACTTGAAGCCAAACGTACCGCAGCCGAGCGAAACACGAGCATGACGACGCACGAGCATGACGAAACACAGCTGAGGAGGGTAGGGAAAAGGATAATCGTTGGAAACAGGATGACAAACATACGGCGGAGGAAAACACGGATAACGATAATGTTGACGCTGAGAAAATCGCTATACCGTCAGCGTCGTCAAGATTGCTCGAGACCCTGCCCCCTCTTGGACGAAATGCCACAGCACGTGCGGCATGCGAGATACCATGGGCATTGGACCATGGAGCGTTGCTTCCCTGTTCTCTGGGGCGCAAAGATGGGCGCGAAGGGCCTGAGCCTCTACCCCCAACCCCGCCAGACAAGGGAGAGGAACGGGGGAGGGGGGTTGGGGGAAGTGGCGGTGCAGGAGCGGAGGAGGGAAGGGTCCAGAAGATGGGTGTGGTTGAGACCGAAAGGGTGTAGGTGAGGAGGTTGGTCCGAGGAACGCCCCAAAGGACCCCGAGAACCTGGCGATACGCAGATCGACGCAACCCGCGGGCCCCCCCCAACGGGAATGGGGGGTCGGGGAGAGGGGCTCGACTCTTCGAGAAAGAGAGATCACACGTTTCACTCTGCCTCCGTGAGATTGCCACCTGCTGCCGCAAGTGCCGTGGCGCCCAATGGGACATCGAGCTCGTGAAAAAATATGGTTGACGCTTCGCGAATCCCCGCCAGCCCATCCAGAACCAATGCCCAGAGGAATTGCCTCGATCAGGGAAGTGGGCAGCACGCAGAGGAAGCCATTATGAGACATCTTGGGGTATATTGGGCCATCTTGGAGGTCATCTTGAGCTCCCCCAGGCGCTCTTGGAGTCATCTTAATCAGCCCCCCCCAAGAGGCCCCACCTTCATAAAATCAATGATTTGGCATTCTCGCCGAGGCCTCTTGGAGCATCTTGGGTGCTTCTGGGGTCTCTTGGGGCCTCTTCGGGGTCTCTTGGGAGCCTCGTGGGGGCGTCCTGAAGGCCTCTTGGAGCTTCATGGCCACCTTGGGGCCCTCTCGGGGCACCTTTGGGAGCCTTGGGGGCAGTCGTTGGGCCATCTTGGGTGAGATCGATCAGGAGGGGGGGGGGGGGGAGGGGGGGGGCATTAATTACAGCCCCCCCCCCCCCCCCCCCCCCCCCAGGAGGCCAAAATGGGGCCCACACCATAATGCAACCAATGATTGTGGCTTCCTCGCCGAAGTCGTTTTGGGCGCACTCGCGGACCCCCCGTCCAGATCCAGGGGAGGGGGTAGGGGGGGGGGGGGGGTAAGCGCGCGTGAGTCACTTTACAACCAGAAGCGCACTTTACAACCAGATGGGTCACTTTACAACCAGCTTATCAAATCCAAGAAGGGCACTTTACAACCAGGAAGGGCACTTTACAACCAGGCAGGTAGAAAACACAGATTGAATGCACGCGTGCCTTTCCCTGAAAACTCCGTGGGCAAGCGCAAGGGTGGCTTTGGGCTCGTTGAGGCATGTTGGTTGTAAAGTTGCCCATCGCGCACGAAGAAGCACTGCGCATGAGTTGGCGATGCGGCGACCTGGTGCGCTATGGCATGTTGCGTGCTGGTGGGCGGATTTAGAGTTTTGACCTGCTCTCTAAGCTCTGTCGGTCAATTCTGCCATTGCTGGCTCTGCCTTTTTTTCTGGCGGGCGAAGGCTAGTCGCGCAGGACATGCGAATAAACCATGATCCCGTCCAAGACTGGAGCTGCATGGCAGTGGAAAGCTGTAGTGGGAGATGTGGTAGAAGCGGGGGCTACAATGGGAACTGCACGGTGTTGGGAAGCTGCGGTGGCAACTGTGGTGGTCGCCAGGCGACGGTGGGAACTGTGGTGGTAGCTGGGCTGCAATGGGATTTGCGGTAGTAGCGGGGGGTCAGTCGGAATTGTGGAGGTAGCGGGGCTGCAGCGGTAAGCGTGGTGGTAGCAGGCACAGAGGTGGCGGTGATGCGCTGTCACGGTGGCTCAAGCTGCTGCGCTGGCACGGTGGCTGAGGCTGCTGCCCGAGCACGATACCTGCGTTGCTGCGCTGGCACCGTGGCTGACGCTGGAAGAGACGATCTTCGAAATAGTTGCATTGATTCGGGGCGTTGAACCTCGATCTTCCAAGACGAGGAGCAGCAGGGGGCCAACTGGAGCGGGCGCACTTAGCCCCTTGCAGACAGAACACCGTGGGGCTTCAGGGGCCAACGTGGCCCAAGAGACCTGCGGTGCCAATGGCCTAGTTCCCTGGAGCGCTGGGCCCTTGTGGAGGCCACTGGGCCCGCTTCCTGTGAGTGACCCCTAAAATGGGCAGCGCGTCGCCCTGAGCCTTCCTACGCATGCTGTCGCCTTATTCCCGCGCGAGCACGGGGCCCTTGCTGAGGCCGCTGCTGGTCCCCTGCTAGCTCAGAGGCCGCTGTGCTCAGAGCGTCCAGGCGCTCGGGCTCAGAGGCATCGCTGGGGCCTGCGCAGAGCGTCCAGGTCCTCGGGCTCAGAGGCATCGCTGGGGCCTGCGCAGAGCGTCCAGGTCCTCGGGCTCAGAGGCATCGCGCTCGGGGAGGCATCGCTGGGGCCTGCGCAGAGGCAGGCGCTCGGGCTCCAGGCGCGTCGGCGCCCTCAGAGAGCGCATCGCAGAGCGCCCAATTGCTCTGGGGCATTTTTCAGAGCGCCCACTTGCTCTGGAGCACTTTGCGGAACGCCCAAACACGCACGGCCACTCTGAGCTGGTTGTAAAGTGGTCCGTTCTGGTTGTAAAGTGGCCCGTTCTGGTTGTAAAGTGGTCCGTTCTGGTTGTAAAGTGGGCCGTTCTGGTTGCAAAGTGGACGTTCTCGATGAGAAAACATACTTTCCAATCCTATGTTGGTTGTAAAGTAACCCATATGGTTGTAAAGTGGTTGTTGTTGTAAAGAGACCGAATCTCGGGGGTAAGCCCCTCCCCGAAGGGGAAGAAGGAGGGGTGGACTAGGAAACGCTCTAAACCACCGACGCCCAGAGGGCTGATGGGATTCAAGCAGGCATGTTGATACCGACCCCAAAGGAAATCCAGCGATTCGGTCCAACAACGCGAAACACGCTCTTGCCCACTAAGGCTTTTTCAGGGCCAGAAACCTGGTAGTGGGCGGGAGCTTTTCGGCTGGTTTTTGAGCGCATTCAAATAGCTTACGCCACCCTGCTGATATCTCAGAAGAAGGTCTTCCCCCCCCTCCTCCTTATCATCCTCCTCCTCCTTCTCGTCTGCCCTTATCAACTCCCTCCTGATCTCTTCTTGTCCACCTGCCCGTTCCGAGCACCCTCCGCCCCAACCGTCGCTTGGCCCGCGTGGGTGGTTTACCCAAGAACAAATCGTTGCGCCAGAATACTATGAAAATCACGGGCAGTGGATTGAGTGGGTTCGGTACCTTTAGGAACCCGCCACCCCAGCCGCCTCCGCCGCCCCCGCGACCCTCCCATGTCAGCCGAAGGGCTGGCGGAGCTCGAGGCAATAACCGGTTGGGAAGAACTCGGGGCCATGATCGCTTGAGGGGAGATAGGCTCGCCTCATTATGCTCTTGCTCCTGCGCCTGCTTCTGCTCTTGTTTCTGCCTCTGCTCTTGCCTCTGCTGCTGGTCCTGCTCCTGCTCATGATCCTGCTGCTCCTCCTCCTCCTCCTCCTCCTCCTCCTCCTCCTCCTCCTCCTCCTCCTCCTCATCCACCTCCTCCCCCTCCTCCTCCTCCTCCTCCTCGTCCCCCCCCCTCCTCTGCCCCGCCCCCAGAGTAGGATAATTGGGGGTGAGAAGGAGGGGGCAAAGAGAGTTGTTCGAAAGAGTCGACACGTATGCCGCGCAAAACAGAAGCAACTGGCAACGCATGCAATTACGCACGTTGCACCATACGAAATCGCACGGCCAACCTCATAGACAAGCAGGAAGCAGGCAGCATATAAAACGCGCAGCATAAGCAGAAATCACAGAGCTGAAAGACAACTGGCAAAGCATGCAATTGCACATAATGCAACATGTGACAGCACGCATCACGCAGCCAACCATAGTTCACAGTACCATCGCCGTTTTTTTTCTCAGTTCTAGCTGGACGCACTGCGGCGTCCTGTTGTGTGAACCTCGCGTCACACTTTCGAGGATCGACCTTTCCTGATGACAGTCCTGGTTGAGAGCCTCGACAAGGTCACGGCGGGCGCCCCCTCCCCTGTCTCCACGACGGCATCGGGGTCCAATGCAGGAGGAACTCCAGCTGTGACGCCTTCGGCAGCGAGTGCGCCCCAGACACCCTCAGAGGCCGCCCCGCCCGCGCCCATTGAGGTCCATGACTCCCCCGAAGCTCCAGCTGATGGGCAGGGCGGCGGGCAGCTCAACAAGCAGGGGCCCGAAGGTACGTTCCTTGAGGATAGCCAGCGTGAGGAGACCTTCACAGTGCCAGGCAATCCACGTGACATTGCTGCTGCCAGAGCCCCCGTTCCGGAAGCCCCCGCATCGCAGCCGCCCGCGCACTTGTCGAGGCCCACGTTTCCGCGCGAGGGCATGTCGGAGCAGCAGTACAGCGAAGTCGTGGCAGCAGACAGGGGATTCTGGCAGAGGGTCGAGGCGCTGCCAGGCAAGGCAGCCGAGGAGCCCGACGGCCCGCCCGACGGCCCGCCCGACGGCCCGCCCGACGGCCCGCCAGACGGCTCGCCCGACGGCCCGCCCGACGGCCCGCCCGACGGCCCGCCCGACGGCCCGCCCGTCGACGGCCCGCCCGACGGCCCCCCCCGCGTCCCAGAGGGCATGAGCCAGGAAGAATTCCTGCGCAGCTTGTCGAGCCAGCAGATGGGGAGGGGCCGCTACGACAAGCATGAGCTCGATGGCGAAGACGATGCAGGCAGGGATCCCCGCCTGGAGGAGGCCGAGATGACCAATTTCGAGATCAATGCTGGCAGCCATCTGGGCTGGCGCTTCCAGAGGGAGTTGGCCTCGGATAAGGAGCTGAAGAAGTCGTGGCTCGAGTGCAGGGGCAACCACGCGAAGCAGGCTTTCAGGCAGAAGTGGTGCAATGCAAAGTTCGAGATGTACAGGAAGAGCCGCGAGATGATCAATCGCCATCAGGTCGTGACTGCAGACACGGGCGTCTACCACCCCCTGGACAGGATCAAAGTCGAGGAGGGAAACACCGAAGAGGCGGCTGAGCGTGCCTGGCGTTACGCATACGCGTGCGTCATGATGGGCACCCAGTGGTACCGCTTCAACGTCATGACTAGAGCCATGGAGTTCCTGTGCGTGAAGCAGCAGTACAATGATATATTCACGCAGTGCTGGCAGACTACGCAGCGCGAGGAAAACAGAGGCCGCCTTCTTGCAGAATTCGCTGAGCCCGAAGGGCGTACCACGTTCGAACCAGTTCGTGCAGCTGCAGGTGCAGCGCCGTCATCTGCAAGCGGCGGCGCGGCGGTCAGCGCTGCCTCGCGCAGCGGCAACGGACCTGCGCCCGCAGCTCCATCAGCAGATGCACCCGCAGCTCAGCCCGCAGCTGCGCCCGCAGCTGCGCCCGCAGCTGCGCCCGCAGGTCCAGCTGCGCCCGCAGCTGAGCCCGCAGCCGCCGCGGCGCGCGCGGCCCAGGAGGAGGCCGCCGTCGGCGACGAGGCGAGGGAACCGCCCAACAAGAGGTCGAGGAAGTCTGTGAGGGGCCAGGCTCTGTCGCCGAAGCCAGCACCTGCGACGCCGAAGGGCAAGGGCAAGGGCAAAGCTAAGGCTAAGGCCAACGCTTCAGCCTCTAAGGACTTGAGGGCCAAGATCAAGGATGCGCAGCAGCTGAAGGTGGCGCATGGCCAGGCGAGCTCCCCGATCGCTTGCATCTCAGCCCAGATTGCAAATTCTCCCGACTGGTCGCGGCTGAAAGACAGCGTGCTGGTGGAGCCGATGACGAAAGCCAGCGACGACATGATCAAGTATGTGTTCTCCAATCCCATCGCGACCATGCTTATCGGCCAGAATGTAGAGCAGATTCAGGCGAGCTGCGATGACCCTGCCCAGATGGATGTCCAGTTGGCGACCCTGACCAGCGACCTCGGCGAGCTCGTCGACAGGGCGCAGAAACAGGCGGACAAGCTCTCGAGGATGCATTATGAGAAGATGAAGGAGTATTGAAACGCTAACTGAGGTTCAATTCAGATACAGGCTGGAATGGGCGACAGTTGATATGCAATTGGGTGAGGCTCTTACACTGTAAGTTCTCGTGCATGCGGTCTGTCAGAGCCAGCTTGTGCAGCGCGCATCATAATATATCGTGCACGCGTGATCTGCGCGTCTTACTTTTCTCGGGCGTTCGACTAAGTGTCGAACGCAGTCGCCGCAGGGGTTGGCGACCAGTGCGCCTGTGCATTCGCCTGTGACGAGCCCTGCCTTTGCCTCGAGGGCTCTCCTGGGGGCAAACGTAGCAGGTTAGAACGTCCAATGTTGGGTGGTTTTTCTTTCTTTTTTTTTTTTTTTTTTTTTTTTTTTTTCAACGGACAACGGCTAATCAGCGGCGGGCCCCGGTTGTTTTTCAGGGTCGGACCTTGTTTTCTGACAAATGCCCGTTCTGCAGGCCGGATTTTGGCCAACCCCGGTTGTTTTTAGGAACCCCGGCTGTTTCTAGGACGGAAAAAGGGCCGCTGATTTTGCGCTGATTTTGCGCTGAGTTTGCGCTGATTCTCGCTGATGTTTCATTTTCAGCTGTGTTTTTACAGTGTTTCGTGCCGCTGATTTTCCGCTGATTTTCCGCTGATTTTTTTCTTCCTGAAATCACTGGGCCCCGGGGGCTCCCAGAGCAGTTTCATCGGCTCGAGGGCCCAAAAATCACCGAAACCACCCAACAATAGGCGTAAGAGGGTTCAACCGTCCTTCTTTGAAGCCATCCGCCCGTCTCGAGCCCCCCCTGGCCCTCAGATGCTCCAGTTCGCAGGCGGGTGACCTGCGCATCGCCCTCATTATCTAGGGGGAACTACGCATTGAGCAAAAATGTGGCAGTGGGAGGGTACTAGACCGAGGGCGGGGGTGGGATAAGGGGCAGGATGGGGTAATGAAGGACGGGGTTGGCAGGAAGGGGGCGAGGATGAAGGTGTCCAGGGGGCTGAGGCTGCCTACTCAAGACGGATATTCAATACAGAGTGAGAAGTAGAAAGGTCGAGGACAAAGATGACGATGAGGAGGAGGAGGAAGGTGGAAGAGAAGGAGGAGGAGGAGGGAGATGAAGATGAGGAGGAGGAGGATGAAGAGGAGGAGGAGGAGGAGGATGAGGTAGATCCCGCAGCGCGGTTCCAATTTCAATGGCTCCGATGGATTCTGGAACCAACGATGCGCGTCAGGAGGAGGAGTAGGAGGTAGAGGAGGAGGAGCAGGAGGAGGAGGCGGGAGGGGGAATCACGTGGAGACTGAGGATCAGGAGTTCAATCAAAAAGACAACTTCGACTGACTTGGGACGGGCAGGACACGCGTGAGACGATCATCGGTCCGAAAATGAGGATGAGGGTTTGAACGCATGGGGAACATTCGAGGGGCATCGGGGAGAGGAGGATGAGGGGGAGGAGGAGGAGGAGGAGGAGGAGGAGGAGGAGGAGGAGGAGGATCGTGATATACTTGAACAAGGAAAGCGAAGAGGAGGAGGAGGAGGAGACTGGTAGGGAGGAGGAAGAGGAGGTAGAGGGAACCGACACGACTTGGCACTAGGTGGAGGAGGGAAGAAAATCAGGAAGGGGAGAAGGATGAGGAGGACGGAGAGGGTAAGCTAAGAGCGAGCGGTCGCCCCCCCCCGCTTGCGCCGCCTCTCTTACGGCCTGGACATCTTCATTGCGAAGGCCATTGGCGCTGCTCTGCCCGCGAGAGCGCCCTCCTCCTCCGCATCCCTCCTCCACTGTGGAGCCCGTCGCAAGGCGGCGTTTTTTCCACGCTTAGCCCACGATATGTAAGTTTGAGCCCCTGCGGTATGTCGGTGTGTATGTATGTATGTATGTATGTATGTATATATATATAGATATAGATACAGATATACTATTAACCGTTGCTTCAAATGTGTTATACGTATGGGGTACTTTGGGGGCCCAAGATAGCGCCCGAGGAACCCCTCCCACCAACGCGAAACAAACAAACGCACGCACGCGCGACAACACTCGCACGCCAATGGGCTCCGTCTAATCCGTTTTGTTGTTGGGCGCCCCCAAGGATGTGGGGTCATCTTTAGTGGCTCTCTAAAGATGCTCTGTGGGTCTTCTCGGGGTTCTCTTGTCGGGGGCCTGACGTGTCCACGGGGCAGGGCCCGAGGCCAAGGTGCTTATTAAAGACTGGGGAGGGAATGCAAGACACTGCCTCGGTACGGGAAAGGGGAGTGCGGTGGATGGGAATAGGTGGGATGCGAACGGTCCAACCACCCTGCGGGCCTCGGCAAAGCGAGCTCTCTGGAGGCAAACGTAGGGGGGGGGGTCCTTGGATCGGGGGGCATGGCCGACGTCGCTTGGCGAGGGGCAATGTTCCGTTTGCCCCCATCGGCGCACTTCTGTTCGACCCCAGCTCCCGCCCGTAGCCGCCATGGCTAAGAAGAGGAGGCGTCAGACACACACGCATCGCCCCCTGGTGATTTCGCTCGTTCAGATGATGAGAGAACAGAAGCTGGTGAGAATCTAATTCAATGCCTGTTGGAGCTCTATGCCAGATGTGTCCTGAGCGCAACAGATGTTTGTGTGATACCCCATTGCGCATCAAAGGCTGGCGCCGTGGGTGGTGTGCGTGATTTCGCATGCAGTCCGACGTCCTCTAGCGGCAATTTTGTAAAAGACCTCGACACGTTGCCCCCGACAAGGCCCGAGAACCTGGAGTTATATAACCTTTGGGCGCCACAGAACGTTCGGAAAGGTACTCCTCCTTCGCCCCATGCTTCCCCTGCCCCTCCTTGGCCGTCCCTCATGCCCCCTTGCTCCACGCCATTGCTCTCATCGTGCCCGCCTTATCTGCCTCCACCTCCGTCCTTTGCATGCCGCCCCCCTCCTCCTCCTCCCCCCTCCTGCTGATAGGTTTGTCTCGTGTTCAACGCGCAACGCCTCGCGTTTTACCTCGCGAGGCGTTTCACGATGAGCTAGCCGCTGACCCCAGCATCAGCGAGAAGGTCCAAACCACGTACGATTATGACGAATGGGAACCTGTGTATCGGGACCATCCTTTAGTTCAGCAAGCTGTGCGCAACAATGAAAAGCTGCCTGTCCCTCTCGCGGTTTACGTTGACGGCGCGTCATACACTAGACAGAAAACATCTGCCCATCAAGAGTCCCTGATATGCTTCGTGATGTACAATCTTATCACATGCAGGAGACATCTCATTTGTACGGTGAGAAAATCGTCGCTGTGTGGTTGTGGATGCAAGGGGTGGGATACTTTATTTCATATATTCACCATGTTCCGATGGTCAATCAAAGCCATAGCGGAGGGGGTTCGGCCGACCGTAAAACACAATGGTAAAGAGTGGGAGGCTTCTGAGGTCTGGGGCAGTCGTTCAGCTGATCTCGGCTACAAGGCATGCGTGATTCAACTGAAAGGGGACTGGGCTGAGTGGGTAACCACGCTCGGATTCGCATCGTGGAATTCTGTGTACCATCCATGCGACATGTGCTCATCTGTGCAATGCACCTTGCATGAGTACAACAACATATCGTTGGTTGGTCTTCCATGGGGTGATCCGGTGAATTGTTGACGCTTCGCGAATCCCGACCAGCCCATCCAGAAACGATGCCCAGAGGCATCGCCTCGATCAGGGAAGTGGGCAGCACGCAGAGGAAGCCAGTATGAGACATTTTGGGATATCTGGAGCCGTCTTGAAGTCATCTTGGGCTCTCCCAGGTGCTTGTGGAGTCATCTCTTAATCGGTGCCCCCCCAAGAGGCCAACATGTTGCGAAAACCTTCGTGCAATCAATGATTTGGCATTCTCGCCGAGGCCTCTTGGAGCATTCTGGGTGCCTCTGGTGGGTCTCTGGGGGACTCGTGAGGGTCTTTTGGGAGCCTCTTGGGGGCATCCTGGGGGCATCTTGGGGCTTCCTGGCCACCTCTTGGGGCCCTCTTGGGGCACCCTTGGGAGTTTGGGGGGCAATCTTTGGGCCATCTTGGGTGAGATCGATCACGGGAGGGGGGGTGCTAATTGCAGTCCCCCCCAGGAGGCCAACATGGGGCCATAGCCCTAATACAACCAATGATGTTGGCTTCCTCGCCAAAGCCGTTTTGGGCGCTCGGGCGGCTCGCGGAAACCCCTGTCCAGGTCCAGGGGAGGGGGCAGGGGGAGGGGTAAACCCCTCCCCGCAGGGAAAGAAGGAAGAGGAAACTCTTTAAGCCACCTACGCCCAGAGGGCGGGTGGGATTACCAGGATGCGTGCAGCGCCTGCGAGATCGACCTTGTCTTGGATACCCAGGACAAGTGGCAGGCATTGTTCGCTGATGGAGGGCTGCGCTATGACAGGCGCTTTGGCCGAGTCTTCCAAAGGGAAGTGCGCGTGGGAGGGGTGCTCCTCAGAGCTGGCGATCGTCTCGTCCCCAACTCTGATCTGGTTGACGTGGGCTTGCTGACGCGCCAGGCGCTTCCGTTCCGGGTCACGTTCTGGCGTCGCCGAACGGGCGCGGGTGGTGCGCTGCTGGACCCAGTGACGCGGAGGAATCCAATATTCGACGCGTCGCTGGGGATCAGCCCCCAGACGTCTATCTGCATAGACACCCTTCACACGCTGCACCTGGGCGTGGCTGCGAGAGCGGCGGCGGTCGCGTTGTGGGCGGTGATCACAGCGAATCCCTGGCACCACCCTGGCCCTGGCGAGGTCATGGTGGAACACGCTTGCCGCACTCTTAGACATGAGATGCAGGAGTTTCATGAATCGGAGAACATCCCTCTGTCTAGTAGGATTGGCAGGCTGACGCCAGGGATGCTCGGCAGTGCGTTTGCTCCTGAAATGCACACCAAGGGAGCGGAGACAGGGTATTTGCTCAAATTTATCGCCCATATCAGCAGCAAGCAGTTTTTCCAGGCCGATAGTTGTGTGGAGATATTCAATGCGTGCAAGCATTTGGCGGAATACATGGACGTGCTCAAGACATCGCCAGGTCGAAAGATCCCGCCTCATACACATCAGAAGTTGTTAACGTTGTGCGTCAAACATTTGAAAGCATACGACAGAGCAGGTGGCATGTTCACGCCAAAACATCATCTCTTTGTACACCTCACGGCACACATGATTTTTTTCGGTAATCCTCGGCATCATTCGACGTGGCACGACGAAACACTTAACAAAGTCATCCGCAGCGTAGCTGAGAACTCGCACAGGCGGGCATGGGAGAAGCGGATTTTTCAGCGGTTGCGTCTCCACGGCAACATCGTGCATAATTCATGGTTCGCTGCAGTATGACTCAGCTAATACGTTGACGATTTGCAGAAAAACCAGCGTTCGCATGTTGTTGGGACCTAAGGCCCAAGGGTAAAAAGTAATCGGGGCAGCGTTCGCCAAGAGCTCAATTTCGTTTCCCCACGCGGTGCCTCCGCCGAAATATTATTCCTACTCGCCCTTTTACTCCTCCTCATCTTTCTCCGTCCTCATCGCCCTTTTGGCTTTCATTCATCCTGCTCAGCTCTGCTACCTCCTCCTTCTCACCCTCCTCCTACCCCCCCCCCCCTCCTGGGGCAGTGGCGGCAACCGAGGGTCCGAGGGGCTCTCGCGCGGGCCTTCGCAATGAAAACATTCACCACGTAGAGGGGGGTTGAGGGCAAAGAAAATAAAGAACAACAGAAACATGAGGATGGCGAACAATGGCAATGGCAACTGCTCCTCCTACTCACCGCCATCGCTGCCGTCATGAACGTCGACATCGTCGTCGTCGCCAATTCCCCCGCCGCCCCTAGCACGCCCCAGTTTGGTTCCTGGAGACGGGGGGGAGGGGAGGGGGAGAGGAATGTGGAGGAGGAGGGGGGAGGGAGGAGAGGAGGACCACGAGTCTGCGAAATGGCGGGGCAAGCCTGCTCATGAACAGAGTAGGGCATCCATCCCATCTCCTATCGCACCGCTACCATGCTGCCATTTCAGGGCCGAGATTTCTCAGGCGGAATGGCCAGGCGCAAAAGACCGCCACCCGAACCATTGTTCCAGCCAGCACACGCGAAACCTAGAGATCCGTCCCCAGAACATCTCAAAATTCAGGCTGCTCCCGTGGGCCCCCCAGACTATGCGAAGGCCTTCGCTACCGAGATAGAGAGAACCTACAGCACGCTCCACGACCGCATTTCTGCGACAATAGCACGGTGTTTGACGCTGACCTTGAGCAGAGATCTGACGGCCGTGGAATTGTTCAGCGGTTGGGGGGGGGGACATCTTATTGGATCCGTTCACTGGGCGGCACGGCCCACGAATTCGACGCAGCCACCAGGCAATGTGATGATGAGGACATAACTTCTGTCGTTGGCATGGTGTTTGCGTTTTGGCTCGTCACTCGCCTCGTGAAGAATGGCACCGTTCTGATGACGCCCGAATGCGCCACGTGGGGGTTCATGAACACATATGTATCTGGCCGTTACCTCCACGTTGAAGGGCACGGGGATAGGGATTCGGTCAATATGGCAAATGAGACGAACCAAGTGGTCAGTGCTATCATGTTTTACGTGACGACACGTTTGTGCTATTATATCATTGAACATCCTCTCAATAACCATTTCTATAAGTATGCATGTTGCGCATCTGCAATTAAGAGCACCCGAGGGCGGTCAGTTCTCACTTACCAGAAAGCGTTTGGACACGAGATGCCGAAACCTACGCAGTTGTTGTTGACTTGCCCCGAGAAATACAGCCACTTTCTGATTCGCTCGAAGCCGAAAGGGGCGTCAGTGGAAGGAACTCCGACGTGCCAGAAATATTATACCATGTCAGGTGGATGGCTCAATGGCCACAAAGCTCTCCGAGGTCCCGAGCATTGCCCGACGCAGTTTGCGCAGGCCACAGCACAATGTATAATTTGCAGTTCGGGTGCAGCGCCAGCGATCTCGTGTGAGTCGGGTGCAGACCCATCGCACAATGTTTAGTTTGCTCGTTCTGGTGCAACTCCCTTTTTCAGAGGAGTCGCAATCGTATATTGCATATTTCCGTGAGCGTATGTAAGATATTGCTCACGACATGCGTGTGACACAGTGTTTTCTGCCAGTGCGCTCTTGGCCACACAATTGTGGGAACCTCTCTGGGCCGACTTGGGGCCCTCTTGGGGCGCTTCGGGGCCGTCTTGGAGGCCATCTTGGGCGTCTTGGAGGCCTCTCGGCCCGTCTTGGGGCCCTCTTGGGGCCGTCTTGGGGGCCTCTTGGGCCGTCATGGGGTCATCTTGGAGACCTCTTGGGCGATCTTGGGGCGACCTTGGGGGCCTCTTGGGCCGTCTTGGGCCGTCGGAAAGCCGAAACGGCGCAATACCAAAATCAGTCAAACACAAAAGATAATCAATGATTTTGGCCTCTTCGGGCCTTCCTGGAGGACCTCTTGGAGGCCCCTTGGGCCGTCTTGGAGGCCTCTTGGGATCCTCTTCGGCCGTTGTGCGCCATCTTGAGGCCGTCTCAAGGCGTCTTGGGTGCACCTTGGGCCGTCTTGGAGGCATCTTGGGGCCATCTAAGCCGTCTTGGAGGCCATCTTGGAGGGTCGACCCGAGGAACGGTCGGTCGATACGGCTGCCACCTTGCGAACGCCTGGGGTTCCCCCCTCCTCTTCCTTATCCGCATTCTCAGCCTCTTCTTCCGCCCCTCCCCCCTCTTCCTCCTGCTCCTCCCTCCTGCTCTCCCCTCCTCCTCCTCCTCCTCCTCCTCCTCCTCCTCCTCCTCCTCCTCCTCCTCCTGTCCCTCCTCCTCCTCCTCCTTCTCCTCCCCCTTCCCCTCGCATCCCCTTCCTCGCCTTATCTCCTCTTCCTCCTCCTCATCATCGTCCTTCTCCTCCTCCTCCTCATCCTTTTACTTGTCTTTCTTCTTGTCATCCTCCTCGTGCACCCCCCCTCCCCTATCATTTTCCTCTCCTCCTTCCTTTCTCTTCCACTGGCCTCCTCATGCTCCGCCCATGCGATTTTCCTGCGCAAGCGCTTCCTCCTCCGCCATTTTCCCCCTTCCTCCTTCTCCTCCTCATTCCGCTCATCCTCCTCCTCCTAGTTTTCTTCCTCTTCCTCTTCTCCTCCTCCCCCATTTTATGCTTCAACGCGTTTGCTGCAGCCAAAACCTGCGGCCGATCGGATCGCGCCGCTCGAGGCGGTGGCCGGCGCCGAATTGGAACCGAACACGCTGCGCTCTATTGCGCCACGTCGCGCCATGAGCGCGAGCACACAAGGGAACGGACAAAAAAACACCAAGCACGGAAACCACAATGCGACCCACCCACAACAGGCTGGACATGTAGCCAGTTGCCGAGGAGTGCCGAGCGAACGCATCTATATTGCACTCGCTTGTATCTTACGGCCAAAACCAACCACCTGTCGGACGTTAAAAACAACGTCCAAGCAAGATTTTAACGGCCCACCTCTGGGTTGCTAAATCCAACGTCTTCTACCCTCTGGGCTTGGAGGCGCCAGCAAGTATCGGGGGGGCGAAAAACAATTTTCGAGGCCTCGAAAATACTTTTCCGCCATAGTTGCGGCGGAATCGCGCGACAGCGCAACGGGCTAGCCCGCAGCTTCCTCACCTCGGCCTCAGCTCGCTCGCGGCACCGCCTCCTGGGAGCGGGGGCGCGCCGCCCGGCTGCTCCAGCCCCGGGGCTGACTCCGCGCGTCCGGCCGCCCTTCGAGCCCGCCAAGTGCACGGGAAAGCTGCCCGGCTGCCCCGGCTGCCCGGCTGCTCCGGCTGCTGGCTGCCCGGCTGCTCTCGCCGCCTGCCTGCCCCTGCCAAACGCCGACCGCGACGCCGCCGAGATGCCAGACTCCTTCTTGCCGCCTGTCACGTCGTCGTCCGACTCTGACTTTACCAAGGTCACCTCGTTCAGCTGCAGCTGGCGGACGATTGCGAATCTGCGATCCATCTCCGCGGCATTGGCCTGCTCCGCGGCCCCGGCCTGCCCCGCGGCGTCGGCGAGGTCGGGCGGGCCGCCGCCGGCGGACGACGCCGCGTCGCCGCTGCCGCGCTCCCTCTTTATTCTCGGAGCAGGCGTTGGCGTCGGAGGCTGCCGCGGCGGCGCTGCGGCTGCTCTGGCGCCGCGCGGTGTTCCGCCGCTGCTGGGCCGCCCGCCCCTCGGCGCAGGCGGCGCGCCAGCGCGAGCCGATCGCGCGGGCCAGAGCCTGGGCCTGAGCCCGCGCACATGCCCCTCGGCGCCCGCCCGATGCTCGGCACTGTCAGCGCGAGCCGCGCGCTCGCGCGTCCGCGCGCCGCCCTCCCCTGCGGCTGCAACGGCCGCCGCCGCACAGGCGAGGCCGACGCCAGCGGAGGCGGCCAGCCCCTGGGCAGGGGATTCCTCGCGCACGGAGGGAGGAGGGGGAGGAAGAGGCACAAGGCATTTTTTGAAGCCCGAAAAATTGTCGCTGCTCGCCCCCGGGGCCTTTTGGAGCCCGGGGCGCCTCCGGAGCTCCCGGGCGCCGAAAAGGCATTTTTCGAGGCCTGAAAAATTGCTTTCGTGCGCGGACCTGGACACTCGGGGTTTTTTGGGGCCCAGGGCGCTTCCGGAGCCCCCAGGCGCCGAAAAAAACATTCTTCGAGGCCTCAAAAATTGCTTTTGCCCGCCCCATGGTTTTGTTTGGAAGAGGGGGAGGAGGAGGAGGAGGAGGAGGAGGAGGGGAAGGAGGAGGGGGGGGAGGAGGAGGGGGAGGAGGAGCAAGACGAGGAAGAGGAGGAGGGGGAGGAGGAGGAAAAGGAGGAGGAGGAGGAGGAAGAGGAGACATCGACACACCTCCACCGCGCCAAGCCAACGCCGCCCTGGGCCCTGGCATGATGTACATTGCGCCCCCATCGCCGAAAACAGGAAGGCCTCTACGCCATCCTGGGGCCCGGGATGACGCTGGCCAGGCGCGGCGGTGCTGCGCAGATGGCCTCTGCGGATCCTCGGGCTCGTGGGCGTTGCCTTGGGTCAGCTCGGCGGGCGCCTCGGCGGTGTCGTCGTCCTGGAGCAGCTCCTCGGGCTCCCCAGCGTTGGCCTGCAGATGCTTGGCGGGCACCTCGGCGGCGCCGTCGCCCTGGAACAGGTCCTTGGGCTCGCCGGCGCTACATTGCAGCAACTCACCGGTGGCGTCCACGCTGGCGGCGCGGGCGGCGTAGCAAGCGCTGGCGCCCGGGGGCGCGGCCGCGAGGATCGCGAGCAAGAGCGCGGGGGACATCCTGGGCATCGGTCGGGCGCTCCCAGAAGCAGCGCGCTGGAAGCCGGGCCCTCGAGGGAAGCTCGGGCCAGACGGGCGGCGGAAGCGGCGGATGTCTGAATCTCGGCGGACTTCCAAACCCCCAGGACCCGAAAATCAATTTCTCGAGCTCCGGAGCCCCCGGCAGCCGAAAAAACATTCGTCGGGGCCCGAAAAATTGTTTTTCTCTCCCCGGGTTTTCGGCGCCTCCAGGGAGCCTCCGGAGCCCCCTGGAACCGAAAAAACATGTTTCGAGGCTTGAAAAAGTGTTTTCCCCCCCCCGGGGCCTTCGGCGCCTCCAGGGAGCCTCCAGAGCCCCCGAAAGCATTTTTCGAGGCCAGAAAAATTGTTTTTCTCTCCCCAGGGCCTTCGGCGCCTCCAGGGAGCCTCTGGAGCTCCGGAAAACCATAAAAACATTTTTCGAGACCCAAAAAATTGTTTTCCTCTCCCCCGGGGCTTTCGGCGCCTCCAGGGGGCCTCCAGAGGCCCCGGAAGCTGAAAAACATTTTTCGGGGGCTGAAAAATTGTTTTTCTCTCCCCGGAGCCTTCGGCGCCTCCATGGAGCCTCCGGAACCCCCACGAGCCGAAAAACCATTTTTCGAGGCCAGAAAAAATGTTTTCTCTCCCCGCGGGGCCTTCGGCGCCTCCGGGGAGCCTCCGGAATTCCCGTGGAAGAAGCGTTTTCGAAGCCTGGCCACGGGGCAAGATTTATCCGGCCAACGATGCGCCACTGCGCGCATCCGGCCAATCAGCCAACCAACCTCCTTGCTCCTGCTCCTGCTCCTCCTCCTCCTGCTCCTCTCCTCCTCCTGCTCCTCCACCTCCTCCTCCTCTTCCTCCTCCCTTTTTCTTCAAAGGGAAAGGCCAAGCGGAATCAGATCGGCGCGAATCCGTGGGCAGCGAAACCGAACTGGAAACCGGCGGCCGATTCGATCCCCTGGGCCGGCACGAGGCGCCAGCGAGGCGCCCGCGGCGAAACCGAATCAACCGAAGTAACCGAAGAGGGCGCGACGACGCAGGGACTCCGCAACAACCGAACCGACCGGGTGTCACTAAGCACGCGAAGCGTATGGGGCCACGAAGCGCTGTACTGGGTGTGCGGGACGCATGTGGACGGTAGCACTGGGACCTTCGGTGGAGCTCCCTATGGGGCCACGAAGCGCTGTACTGGGTGTGCGGGACGCATGCGGACGGTAGCGCTGGGACCTTCGGTGGGGCTCCCTGTGGGGCCACGAAGCGCTGTACTGTGCGTGCGGGACGCATGCGGACGGTAGCGCTGGGACCTTCGCTGGGGCTCCCTACGGGGCCACGAAACGCTGTACTGGGTGAGTGAAACGCAGGGCAGAGGGGGAGGAGGGCCACGAAACGCTGTACTGGGTGTGCGGGACGCATGCGGACGGTAGCATTGGGACCTTTTGTGGAGTTCCCCATGGGGCCACGAAGCGCTGTACTGGGTGTGCGGGACGCATGCGGACGGTAGCACTGGGACCTTCGGTGGGGATCCCTACGGGGCCACGAAGCGCTGTACTGGGTGTGCGGGACGCATGCGGACGGTAGCACTGGGACCTTCGGTGGGGCTCCCTACGGGGCCACGAAACTCTGTACTGGGTGGGTGAAACGCAGGGAGGCGGGGGAGGAGGGCCACGAAACGCTGTACTGGGTGTGCGGGACGCACGCGGACGGTGGGAAGGAGGGGGAGGAGGGGGAGAGGA